CCTTGAGAAACTTTATATCTCATTTCTTGGATCATCCTCCTCTTCCCAGCTCTATACAATGGCGGGGGGGGGGGGGGGGTCTCAGGACCGAGCCCTGTGACCTCTTCATCTCTCTGTGTCAGCACTCACTGCAGAGATGACCTCATCCACTCCCACGGCTTTAAGACTGTCTATATCTCAGTGACCCCCACGTTTGTATCTTCAGTCTTCCCGTAGCGGGGATTCCTACATCCAACCTCCTGCTTACTATTGCCACCCGGGTGTTTAATACACATCCCAAGCTTAGCATACCCCAAACCAAACATCTGATTTTCCCCTGCCCATCCTGTTTTAATCCTTCAATGTCTGCAGCTCATCAAATGATACTTCCATTTCATTTTTCATTTCTGGCTCAGGCCAAAAGCCTTAAAGTATCCTAGACTCATCGTGCTCTTAACATGCTACATCCAAATCATCAACATACCCTATAGGTCCTACATCCAAAATGCATCTGGATGACCATGACCTCTGGTCATCTCCCCCATGACCACTCTGGTATACATCTCTGTGGCATCTCACCTGTCCCCCTGCGGCAGCTTCCTGGGAAGGGGGGGGTCTCCCTACTTTGTCCTTGACCCACTAGGCAAGTCCATTCCGTCCTCAGCTCAATGAGGAGACAGCAGAGAGCCTGAGTGCACAGGTCAGACAGCAAAGATCGCCACGGGAAGTCAGGCCTTATCGCCCTCCTCCCCAAAACTCTTCAGTGGACTCCCGTCACGCGTGGAATAAAATCCTGCAAGTCCCTGCTACCCTCAGCTGTGTCTCCAAACTCACGTGCGCCTTGTCTGCTCGCTTGATTCTGCCCACGCTCGTTTTCCTGCTCCTGCACAGACACACCAGGCTCACTTCTACCTCAGGGCCTTGACACTGGCTATCCCCTCTGATCTGAATGTGCCTCCCCCACATATATGCTTGGCCCAGTCCTTCACTTCCCACAGGTCTCGGTTCAAATGTCATCTCACGTGGCAGCCTTCTAGCACTGCCCCCTTTGAGCAGCCATCCCTCCTGCCACCCAGTCCACGCTCTTCCTCTTTCTAGCCCCTCACCCTGTTGTTTTCCTCCATAGCACTCACGGCTGCCTGACACGACCTTGCACATTTGGCTCACTGTCTGTCTCTGTGATGGCAGTCTTAGTTTTCTTTGCCACTGTACCCGTGGGGTCTAGAACACAGAAGCTCTCTGTCTGAGAGACAGAGAGAGGCAGAGTGCAAGCAGGGGAGGGGCAGAGAGAGAGGGAGACACAGAATCCGAAGCAGGCGCCAGGCCCTGAGCTGTCGGCACAGAGCCCGACGCGGGGCTCGAACTCCCGGACTGTGAGATCACGACCTGAGCCGGAGTCGGACGCTTCACCGACTGAGCCACCCAGGCGCCCCACATAGATGATTTCTTGGGGGATTGAGCAGAGGTTACAGAACCCTCTGCTGTTTGGGGAGAGAGCAGAGAGCGCCGCGGGGAAAATGATGATACAAGGGACCGCCAGAAGTGGCCGGACGGCCTTTGGCACAGGGCTTGGAAAGCCCTAAGCTGAGGATGGAGAGGACTTGCTTTCCTGGAATATATAAACCACCACTACCCCCCACCACCCCCCAGATTCCAGGCAATTTGGTACACTGGAGTAAAAAGAAACTGCAGTCTGAAATGGCTAGATTCAGAGTTCCCGGTGCATTCGATCAGTTATAGCCAAAGCGAGGGGTGCGCCTTCGGTTAACCACCGGTTCAGAAGCCTGGCTGGTAAGAAAGGGGCACTTGGGTCTCTGGGCCTCAGACTCAGGACAGGAGCCAGCAGAGGGCCTGGAGATCCGGCAGGGGCTAATACTAGAGCTAACTGCACGCGTCGTCAGCAACTTCCTGGACAAAAGCTGGGTACCAGGGGAGGGCAAGGCTCGGAAGTGATTCCGTTTCCCCAAAGCAGCTCCCCCGGTAGAAGGGTGGGAGGGAAGACAAACCACGGGGTGGACAAAGAAAATGCAGCCCTTCTCGCGATTTGCTGCGGTCACAGTCCGTAAAGGTGCCCAAAACACTGGAATAGCAAATGCTGAACCATCGCTCCCAGGGGAAATACAGACTTAGGTTCCCGCCAGCGTCTAGTACCGTTGTGTTCAACGGCTCAATACAGAACCTTATGTTGCTTCTGTCTAAAGACACCTTAGGTAGCAAATATTGTTAATTTATTGACGCTGAACTCGCGGCCGTCGGCACGAGAACGCGTGCCCGAATGGAGCTTATCTAACACGCACATTCTCTCCGTGAGGCGCATCCCAGCCTGCTCGCGCTTAGTGCGCTTGAACTTAGGGGCACCAGACAGAGCTTGGGCCCTACGCCTCGAGGCCACTTCAAACCACGAAACCACCAACCCCAAACCACAAAACTCTGGAAAACATGGCACTAGTAGACCACGAAAATGACATTTGTGTTCAGCGCGAGAGCTGGTGCAAGAAGGCAGAGGGTCGTCTTGTTTGTTCGAGGTCAGCGGGGCACATCCCAAGCTTTCCGACACGGCGGCCCCCTCCCAGCAGCAGAGCCAGGGCCCAGCCGACGGTCCGAAAGAGTGACAGCAACGGTCCCTGACCTTTGGGACCTTGGGAGGAGAACGGCCTCTGGGTTAGAAGCTGGGTGTGAGGAGGGACGCGCCCCAGCCATTGCCCACGAGGAAGGGAGGGACAGAACCCTTGCCAGGCAGAGTCAGTGAGATGAGCTCCTGTTTATACACTTAAACCCCCGTTTCCAGAGTGGAGGGGTTTCCGTGAGAGTCACCGGCCCAAGCGAAGTCCTGGGAATTGGTTTTGTAAAGCTTCAGGGACCAGCGGTGGCTGCCTTCTGGGCCCTTCTCTGCACCAGGCATGCCTAGTATCCCTCCTCATAAAAGCCCAAAGTGACTTGTCCACCGTCACACAGCCTGTCGGAGCCCCAGACCAAAGACCTGACCACCAGCGCAATTCTGTCCCCTGTCCCCTCACCTGCTTTATAAATCTTCTCTCCAGCTGCAGTGAGGCCAGGAAGGAGGTTGCCAAAGTGGCTTCAGCAAACCCCTCCTGCCTCGCCCCCCTACCTTTCCTTTTCCCCCTTCCCTCCCCTTCCTCTCTCCCACCCCACCCCTGCCTCCTCCCCACAGCTCAGACTGCCAGCGACCCCGCTGGTGGATGCAACCAGGCGGTCTTAGGACAGTTTTAGGCTGTCTTAGGCCTGGCTGATTCCGGGCACAGCACTGGGCGGGGGCGCAGGGATGGGGAAAATCTCGGCCTCTGAGTCTGCGATTGCTGGCCAGGACCTGCCCGCGTTGTCTTTCCCTTCAGCCTCCCTGTCTCCACCATAACCAGGCCTTGGAATCGCTTGAGGAGTTTTCAGAAACCTGAGGCCCAGACCAGTTCAATGAGAACTTCGGGGCTGGTCCGAGGAATGTGAACCTCTGGCTGTCTTCAGGCCTGCTCAGTTTATGTGCCTCTTCCTAGGCCTTGACACCCCGCTCCTGTCCCAGACACCCAGAATTCTCTGGAAGATCAGGTAAATGACGTTACTCACGATAGTTAGAGGGAAGACATTTAGCCTATGTTAATGTAAATGTGACAAACTTTCTCACATCATTAAATGCCTGTGTTCAAATACTTATATCATTTAAGAATTCAGAATTTTCCAGTTAGAATGTTCTTATTGATGGGGCGCTGGGTAGCTCAGTGGGTTAAGCATCTGACTTCGGTTCAGGTCATGATCTCACGATTCAGGAGTACGAGCCCTGCATCGGGCTCTGCACTGACAGTGAGGAGCCTGCTTGGGGTTCTCTCTCTCCTTCTCTCTCTGCCCTTCCCCTGCTTGCGCTCTCTCTAACAGGATAAATAAAAAGAACATTAAAAAAAAATTTTTTTTTAATTTTTTTCAACGTTTATTTATTTTCGGGACAGAGAGAGACAGAGCATGAACGGGGAAGGGGCAGAGAGAGAGGGAGACACAGAATCGGAAACAGGCTCCAGGCCCTGAGCCATCAGCCCAGAGCCTGACGTGGGGCTCGAACTCACGGACCGCGAGATCGTGACCTGGCTGAAGTCGGACGCTTAACCGACTGCGCCACCCAGGCGCCCCTAAAAAAATTTTTTTTAATAAAATAAAATAAATACATAAATAGAATATTCTTAGTAGAGCAAGACGCCAAAGGTAATCTTCACAGGACATAGAAACACCGAGCCATCTGGGGATCTTCAAGGTCTCCTTGCACACTGGATTTCAAGGGTAGTTTTAACAACACAGAACCACCTATGACATTTTCACACAAGACCTCATACCAGACCCAAAAGTTAAGACAGGCCATTGTCTCAATACCCTCTGGTCTCCACCTCCCTCTGAATCACCTCTGTGATGCAGAAAAGCATCTGCATGTATACAACTATCCATGGGTGAGATTTCTTTCTCGGGTGCAGCTAGGATGCTGGTGTGGGACCTGGGGGTGGGGGGAGGGAAGAGGCGTGGAACACGGAGGATGCGCTATTGGGCCCCGGAACTGGACCTGGGGCAGGAGCCACGTCAGCGAAGGCAGGTGCTCTGCGTGGGGCGAACGTGAGCATAGGACGCGGGGCTGGGTGGCACGGAGTGAGGGGCTGTGGCTTAGGGTGTGGGGGTGGATATGCGCTTGGGAGAGGATGGGCTGGGCAGGGCCAAGGGTGGCCTGTGAGGGCTTCAGAGGCCATGCTGAAGTGCACTGTGCGCGTGGGGCCTTCCACTCCTCCCCCAGCTGCAATGCGGAGAGTGGCTGGAGCTGCACAGAGGCACCTGGGGGGGACACCAGGACAGAGGCTCTTGTGCCGCGAGAGGCTGAGGCCGAGGCCACGCTGGAGGATGGCCAAGGGCAGGGCTTTTCTTTTGGAAAGGAGAAAGTGACGCAGGTCAACACCAGGCTGGCCGGGGAGGGGGTCGTCCCCAGAATCTCGCCTACCCTCCCTGGGCCGTTGCCTGCCCCCTACTCCTCTGTCCTTCCTTTTCAAGCCTCTCCTCCAGGAAGTGGGCTCGGGTGTGGCCACTGGCCTCTCACCCCCTCGGGGACCTTGCAGCCTCATCTGGACACACAGCTTTGTTTGCGTCAGCTTTGTTTTCTAATGGGGGGGAAGACGAGCCTCAGGAGTCTCCTTGGACAGCTTGGGGGCCGTGAAATCTGGTCCTATGAACAGGAAGCAAAGAGCACAGAGCAGGGATGCAGGGAGCCGGGGAGGGACACGATGGCCGCGGCCCTCTTCTTTGCGGCTCTCCTCCCCAGTCGGGAGCACAGCAGCCCAACGGATAAGGACTTTCAAGTGCTAGAACCAGAAGGAGCCCGGGGAAGCCTCTATCCATTCCAGATGAAGGGGCAGGTGCTCAGAGCCAGAGTGAGTCTGCTTCTCCCAACCCAGTGTCCCGACCTTGCCTTTGGTAATATTTTGTTGGCCGGAACCATGCACGCCGCGTCTTTCGAAATTCCCTGTGGAGGCTAGCACTGTTCTCGGAACTGGGAGCCAGACTCGACTGACCTTTGACGTTGAGGCAAAGAGCTGGTCCACGGGCCCAGTTCAGGTCCACAAAGGGAGAGCGGGCCCCAGCCCTTGCTCTGTAAAGCTGGAAACCTCATGTCCTGCTTCCAGATCCAGGAGAGTCCAGGAGATCCTGACGCACCCGGCTCTCCACAGCAGCGGCGATGGGTGAGGACGTGGAGGTATGGAAGCAGGTGTTCCAGGAATTAATTCAGGAGCTGAAACCATGGCACAAATGGACCTTGACACTAGACAAAGACCTTCTTCCCAACACCCTGCAGCCAGGGTGGTCACAGTACCAGCAGTGGGCCTTCGCCAGGTGAGTGGGGAACGGGAGCGGACGTATTCCAGAACATTCTTGTTTATTCGTTGCTGTGTATACTTGCTACTTTCTTTCTTATTTATTTTTTTTTAATGTTTATTTATTTTTTGAGAGAGAGAATCAGGGACAGAGCAAGAGCAGGGGAGGGGCAGAGAGAAAGGGAGACACAGAATCCAAAGCAGACTCCAGGCTCCGAGCTGTCAGCACAGAGCCCGACGCGGGGCTCGAACCCACGACCCGTTAGATCACGACCTGAGCCGAAGTCGGACGCTTAACCCACTGAGCCACCCCGGTGCCCCTACTTGCTACTTTTCTCATTCCATTCTGTGCTTGCAAATTGAGCGCTACAGGAAGTAAGATGCCCATCACCCAAGAAGCTTTAGCTTCGGTGAAGGCTTTTTCCTTACTACAGTGAACCTCACACCGTAGCAGGACTGGGCACTGGTGTAGGCAGACGCCTTGATGCAGAGAAATCGGGGGAGGGGATAGCAGTGAGGAAAACTGAGAGAGCTACGTTCCCTGCATACGCTCCCTGCCTCGGGGGACCTGGGGCTCACGACGGAGCCTAGGAGGGAGAGGCCTGAGGAGCCCCTCTGGGAGAGGACAGAGGATAGGGGTAGCTGAGGAATATGCATCTTGTCCCCTCTGCTCCAGGCTGATGGATCCTTCTAAACTAAGACCCTCAGGGGTCCATCCAAAGCCCCACCCTTTTATCCGGGTGGGAAAGCAGAGCTCCAAGGGTCAGGTGGGTGGGGTTGCCCACCTGCCAGAGGGTGGGAGCCCGGGACTCTCTCCTAGGACTGGCAGGGACCGAGCCCCTGCCCACTGCCCTCCTCTCCGGGGCAGGGTCTGGGCAGAGGAAACAGAGCTCTCCTCTCCTGGTGGCCCACGGCCTCCCAAGCGAGGAGCACCCGAGCAAAATCTCAGCTCATTTCTTCTTCCTTCCTTCCTTCCTTCCTTCCTTCCTTCCTTCCTTCCTTCTTTCCTTGAACTCTGAGCTGGCACATGAGCAGAGCAGCATGACCCAGAGGGAGGGACAAGGGACAGCAGCCAGAAGAGCAGAGCCCAGCGGGGGGGGGGGGGGGGCCCGAACCACGAACTGTCGGTGATTTGACCTAACACATGGTCCCAGGGTCACCGAGGCGGAGGAAGAAGAGTGAAGCGTTTTCCAAGGGCTTCTGCACCAGATTTGGAAGTAGCCCATGTCACTGCCCACCTCCCATTGGGCAACCGGTCACATTGCCCAACCTAACTGGGCTGCGAAGCAGGAGAGAGCACACAGGCAAGCTGATCAGCATGAGACGGCCCTGCCACCCTGCAGCTTCTGTGTCTCCCATGATGCCCATCGTGGGGGCAGCCATGTGCTTCCCTGCCTCCTTCCCCTCTCTCCATCTCTCCTGCCGTGTGTGTCCAAATATCTGAGCTCAGGAAATTGCCCTCTTCCCTGTGGAGACGAGGTGTCATTCTCTTGTACCCTGAGACCAGGCACACACAGAACCCAACTGGGTTGGAGGGGCGTAAAAGGAGAGACAGCTGGACACTGTGATCTCCCTGTAATACTGGCAGATCAGGGACCCTGGGCAACAGGGCAGAGCAATGTTTTTCTTAGGACACTAGACCCTCCCTGATCTGTGGGGCTATGACTTATTGCCTTAGTCTGTTTGGGCAGCTATAAAAAAAAAAAAACAAAGAAAAACAAAAAAACAGAACAGAGAAAACAGAGGCACCTGGGTGGCTCAGTCAGTTGAACATCTGGCTCAGGTCATGATCTCTTGGTTCATGGGCTCGAGCCCCGTGTCGGTCTCTGTGCTGACAGGTCAGAGCCTGGAGCCTGCTTCAGATCCTGTGTCTCCCTCTCTCTCTGCCCCTCCCCTGCTCACGCTCTGCCTCTCTCAAAAATAAATAAATATTAAAAACATTAAAAAAAGAAAAAACAGACTGGGCAACTTATATGCAACAGACATGATTGCTCATGGTTCTAGGGGCCGGAAGTCCAAGGTCAGGGTGCTAGCTGGTCAGGTGAGAGCCCTCTTCTGGGTTGCTTCTGGGTTGACTTCCGTTGTATCCTCACGTGGTGGGAGGAGCTGGGGAGCTCTATGGGATCTTTTTGATAAGAGCACTAATCCCATTCGCATGGGCTCCCCCCATGACCTAATCACATCCCAAAGGCCTTCTAACATCGTCCATCACCTTTGAAGGGTAGGATTCCGGCATGTGAATTGCGGGGAGGCATAAACTTTCAGATGGTAACACTTAACCAACACCCATTTGTACCATTGGTGGATTTTAGTTCAGGGTTCTTGGGGGCTGATTTAATGGCTGCTGTTGCACCTGTAGCTTTTTGACTCACTTCTGTCTACATTTGAAGAAGCCTTGGTTTGGGGCCAGGAGCCTGGAGGTCTAGTCCTGCTTCTTACGCCCGCTGAGTCTCTGCACACGATTAGTTCCAACACGTGCCTCATCTCCAGCGTGATCCAGTTGGACTTAGAAAATCCCCTCCAGCGCAGACACCTTGTGATTAGCTATTTTCATGACAGACACCTGTGGGTCCCAGGGCATGTTGGCAACACCATGGAGGCAGGAGTGAGGGGCTCGCTGAGTTCTTTCCCCACTCACCGCAGCCCCGGTCAAACCACATCTGTGCGTTGTTGGGTCCCCTTTCTTCCCTCTGGCCCAGCCCCCAACTCAGCCTTCCTGGGCCAAGCTGAGGGCCTCATCTTCTGTCTCCACAGGTTCCAGTGCTCCCTGTGCTCTCGTCGTTGGGCCTCTTCCCAAGTTCAGGTCCTTTTCCACATGCACAAGAGTAAGGGGGAACCCCAGGGCAAGGTGAAAATGAGGGTCTTTGCCCAGAGATGTCGGAAGTGCTTTCAGTCTCCATTTGAGGTTCCCGAGTTCACCACAGAGAACATCTCAAGGATCCTGAATAACTTGGTGTTCCGAATTCTGAAGAAATGCTACAGAGAAGGATTTAAGTCGATGGAGGAGCTTCCTATGATCAAGGAAATCTCTCTTGAGGGGCCGCATGACAGTAACAACTGTGAGGCATGTCTACAGGGCTTTTGTGCTCAGAGTGGGGTGGGTCCAGCCGTGCAGGCACCGGTGTCCCCGGCACTTGCCTCCATAAGCTCACCTACCTTCGGGACCATCATTCCCATGCCCTCTCATGCAGGGAGTGGCACCACAGTGGATGCGGTGAACACCCAGGCCAACACGGGAAAGCCTTTACCCAGACCCTCATATGCAGGGCCCACGCAGGCTGCCAGCCTCCCCACCCACTGGAGCCCGAGAGCAAACACCTACCACCACGTGGAGAGGCGAGTTCAGGTCACCCACTGGCGTGAGGGACTCTGTTCCCACAGAGCCCCAAATCCCAGGTGCAGGTATGGGAATGTTTGCTGTTTTTGCCTCGTCCTAGTCATCGTGGTGGTGATTATCGTAGAGACTATTCGGTGGATCTCAACGTGACGCCAAGTTCAAAGTCATGTAGTATGATCCCAAGGATAAGAAATTTCCAGAATAGGTAAATACAGAGACAGGGAGCAGATTGGTGACTGCCAGGGGCTGTGGGGAAGGGGATTAATCTGTACGGGGGCTTTTTTTTGGGTGGGGGGAGGTGGTGAGTGGTGATGAAAATGTTTGGCTCAAGATGGAGGAGGTGGTTGTACAGCACTGTGAATGCAGTAAAGGCCATTGAATTGTTCATTTTTAAATGGTTGATTTCATGTGAGCTTTAACGGTTAATTCCATGTTAATTTCACCTCCATTCAATGTTATTTAAAAGACACTGAAATCCTGCTCATTCTCTGTAGACCGAAACCATTATAGCCCACAGAACCATCTGGAAATCTCAGGAGACCCGTGGGTCCTCTCACCAGAGAAGCTTGCCCAGACCCTGTGACATCAGTCTGTGGAGGCACTTGCTGTGGTTTTCATTAGGCTGAAAACCTGGGTCTCAAAGCAGTGGTCTCCACAGCAGGGTCCACACAGCTCAGGGGGGACCAAGGCAGGACCACCTGTGTGGTCAAGGTAGGACCATCTACCCAGGTTGGGGATAGAACCTTCAAACTCCATTTTTTGTTTCTTTCTCCTTTACTATTTCTTGTTGTGTGGCTTATAATGTATGTTGATGTATGAGTAGAATGGTATTGTGACACAATGTGTAAATAAACAAATACACACCCACTTGGAGCGCGTGCTCAGCTTGTCACTGACTTCCTCATTTTCAGAACTCTGTACCCATTAGACGACAGCTCGCGTTTTCTCCCTCCCTCAGTCCTTGCTAACCACCATTCTTCTTTCTGTCTCTGTGAATGTGACTTCCCTGAGGACCTTATACAGGCAGACTCATACAGCGTTTGTCTTCTTGTCACTGGTTTATTTCACTTAGCGTAATACCCTCATGTTTCCTCCACGTTGTAGCATGGGAAGGATTTCCTTCCTTTCTAAGGCTGAATTATATTCCACGGTTTGTATATACCGCATTCTGTTTATCCATCTGTAGAATCCGGGTGGCTCCCACCTCTCGGCTGTTGTAAGTAGTGCTGCTAAGAATGCAAGTGTATCAATAGCTCTTTGAGACCCTCCTTTCAACTCGTTTGGATACACACTCAGAAGTGGAAATGGTAGAACATACAGTAATTCTATTTTTAAGTGTTTGAGAAATTGCCATGCTATTTTCCCTAGTGATTCCACCATTTTACACTCTCACCAACAGGGACAAGGGTTCCAACTTCTCCACATCCTCACCAACACTTTATTTTCTGGGTTGTTGTTTTCTTTATAATAGCTATACCAATGGGTGTGCTAAATTTCTAGAAAATGCAATTTTTTTTTTTTTACAACGGAAGTTTTCTTTTAAGGAAAGATATTTTTTATTGGTTTTTTTTAATGTTTATTTTTTATTTTTGAGAGAGAGAGCATGTGTAAACAGGGGAAGGGCAGAGAGGGAGGGAGACACAGAATCCGAAGCAGGCTCCAGGCTCCGAGCTGTCAGCACAGAGCCCGACGCGGGGCTCGAACTCACAAACCGTGAGATCATGACCTGAGCCGAAGTTGGATGCTTAACTGACTGAGCCACCCAGGCGCCCCAGCAAGCTCTCTTTCAAGGCAATATCAGAAATAATATTTGTACATCTCAGCACAGACAGAAGTATTGGGAACACAAAAGAAATGTGTAGGCAAATTCTTCTGGGGCTTGCTATTTGTTTTCAAATATTTGAGCCCAGTCTGTATCCCTATTCAGCAAACTCCAGAAACTTAAAATGTGATAGTGGACAAGACAGTTACAAACACATGTCTAAGGAACAAGCGTACCTAGTAGCCCCATAAACAGCTGGCAGCTGAGTGACCAGTGAGGTAGGAAGGACATGGTGGGTCGTTAATACAAAAAGGGGTTCTGGGGCACCTGGGTAGCTCAGTTGGTTAAACATCTAACTCTCAGTTTCGGCTCAGGTCATGATCTCAAGGTTTTGTGAGTTCGAGCCCTGCATCAGGCTCTGTGCTGACACTGCAGAGCCTGCTTGGGATTCTCTCTCTCTCTCTCTCTCTCTCTTTCTCTCTCTCCGCCCCCCCACCCCCAGTCATGTTGTCACTGTCTCTCTCAAAATAAACTTAAAAAAAATTTTTTTTTAATTTTTAGTGGAAGGCAAGTCATAAAATGTTTAAGATGGAATCAGCCTTAGAAATTGTCTTCTCGGGGCACCTGGGTGGCTTAGTCAGTTAAGCATCCAGCTTCAGCTCAGGTCACGATCTCGCAGTTTGTGGATTTGAGCCCCGCATCAGGCTCTCCGCTGTCAGCACAGAACCTGCTTCAGATCCTCTGTCCCCCCTCTCACTGCCCCTCCCCCACTTGCACATGTTCTCTCTCTCTCTCTCCTTCTCTAAAATAAATAAAACTTAAAAAAATAAAGATTTATTTTACTTTTTGCTTCTTGAGAGAGTCCTGGATCCCTGAGTCCCGGTGGTGACCAGACTGCAGAAGAGCCTGGAACGGGCACGTGCGTGTGAGTCCACGTTTGCACAATAAAGAGATTGCAGATACAGGGAGGTGGGAAACACGTGCCGATATCCCTCCCAGAAAGACTCTACTGTATCCAAAGATAGGCGGGATGGGTGGAATGCTTTAGTGTATGTCAATAAGGAAAACAAACTAGAGCACGGTAGAAAACTTAGATAATGGGGACATTAAGGGAAGGGGATGTTGAACAACTTGTAAGCTCACTGAAGGCTAGAGTCAAGAACTTTCATTTCAAGAAAGAATTGGAAAGTACGTTAAAATCCTAAGAAGTGTTGTTACATGATCAAAAGTTACCCTGATACCAAATATTGCTACTGACAAGTAGGGTGGGGAAAACTATTTGCTGTCCCTGTGCATCAGGAATGTAGCAGACTTAGGACACGGGAAATTAGAACCGAGTAAACCTACACCCACCACAAAACAATACCTCGAAGTACGTTTTCCCTCCCGCTCAGGAGTAGTGAGAGATTCAAGAGACACACTGAGGTGGGAAGGAAAGGATACAGAGAAGGAAAGACAGTAACTGATTTCTGGACCTTTCTGTTCGCCATCGTCACGAAGTTACCCTAAACTGGAGTTTGGCAAGCACGCCAACCGGTCGTTCTAGAAAGCTCCAGTCAAGAAATGTGATGCGGACCTTGCTAGTAAGTAAAATGCGCTGCCGAATGATTTCACCTAAGTGTCTTTGTCCCTTTAACGTCCAATGTATGAAAACGGGTATACTAATAAGCTTTTGGAACCAGAGCATTTTTCTTCTAAGAAGTACATCTTATTCCTTTATTCATATAGCTTTAGTGCTCATACATGTGCCCCACAATGGAAATTCCTTTTCCAAATTATGAATCAGTTCATACGCATCACATCAAATTTTCAAATCTCTAGGGTATTTCCACTAAAATACATATTCTGTGCTATAATCTGGCTGCATTTTTATACATATATGAATAGATTAAGTGGTGTCCTACAAACGTCATATTCAAACAATATATTTGGTTTGGGATATTATGTAACATGAGATAATTATATATCGGTGCAGTACTTTTTCCCTTATATGTAACACCAACACAAGGTTTTTGCACAAAAGACTGGTTTTATTGAAATAAATTTTACATAAGTCATGGACAATTTTCATGAAAGCCCCATTTGCCCCCCTTTAAGATTTATTTTCTATTTGACTATCTACAACATATACCTTGGCATGAAACAAAGTCTCAAACTTATTCGAGTAGTTCAATTAATAAATTTCAGTCCCATTTTTAAGGAGTTAAAAAGAAAAATATAATTGTTTGCTGTTCACTTGAAGTGATTTCTCATTTTCCTACTCTTTTCATCTCTTAACCTACTTCTCAGAGTTTGTTTCTAACTTGAGGCAATCCTCCGCTGAAGTATTACCATGTGATTCTAGAATGCTCTGCCCATTTTGCATCTGTTGAGGATAAAATACTTGGAATTTTGATTCAGTCTACCAAGACAAAATATGGGGGGTGTCATAGTAGCCCTTCTGATAAGAGAAAATAAAAACAACCCTTCGTTTCTTCCCCCAAAATCCAACTGGCTAGACGTGCGTGTTCAATATGGTAGCCACCTGTGGCAATCTAAAATTAAATTTAATTAAAAATTCTAAATTAATTAAAAATTCCTCAGTTATGCCAGTCATTGTTCAAGTGGTCAAAAAGCACATGTATCTGGGGGTCACTACATTTGGACAGCACAGATATAGAACATTTCCATCACCGCAGAAAATTCTACTTAACAGCACTGAACTAGACCATGTAGGAGTTGATTCATATATAAATATGTGAAATATGCACTTTTTCCTTCTTAGTCACGAGAGCTACTTGTTAAAGCTTATCTTCAACCCACAATCCTGTTGATTTTAGCTCAAGACAATGGTATAAAAATAGATATTTGTACAATTTCTCCAAATCATACGATGTGTTGTAAGAGTCCAAAGCCCTAAAATGAATCCCATCTTTGCCACCATAAAACAGTCTCATGAGCTCCCCGCGGACCACAGCATTATGGCCATGGGCAGAGTTCTCCTGTGGCATCTGCAAGGAAGCCTTGCTAGGGGCTCCTCACCAGTGTGGACTAGCCATCCCTGCTACCCTGTGCAGCCACCTTGGAGGAGGAGTCCCTAAAGGTACTACCTCTGCTCCCTGCTCTAAGGTGGGTCCCAGGACCCCCAAGGTTCCCACTCAGGGCAGGAGGACCATCCATGCAGCCCACGTAAGGCTTCCCAGGACCAGCCAGACCCTGACTCTGTTAGGGCCCCCAGTGCACCCTCTGAATGTCCTGTGCCCAATGCACGGGCAGGCAATCCAGCCCTTCTTTCTACAGTCAATGCCCAAATTATGCCCAAAGTCTCTCCCAAGACCCTACACTTACAAAACATCATTGAAACATATGAAAATAGCAGTTTGTATAAGCCCAAGGAAAACTCTCCTCAGTAAAAGAAATCACACATTAAAACTCCTTCAAAATAGGGGTGCCTGGGTGGCTCAGTTGCTTAAGCGTCCGACTTCAGCTCAGGTCATGATCTCACGGCCCGTGTGTTCGAGCCCCATGTCAGGCTCTGTGCTGGCAGCTCAGAGCCTGGAGCCTACTTCAGATTCTGTGTCTCTCTTCCTTTCTCTGCCCCTCCCCCATTTGCACACTCTCTCTCTCTGTCTCTCAAAAATAAATAAAAAGTTTAAAAAAAATTTTAATAAAAAAATAAAGGTAAATAAAATAAAATCTCATTTGACTAACCCAATACAAATGTTCTTTTTACCACCCCTTTCTTTATTCCTGGATTCTTAAAATCAGTGCGATCAACTTCCTAATTTGGTCTTTGAGTTATAATTTTTAAAACAAACGCATTTTCTAAAATATTAAAGGTGGATTGTTTGGAAATAAGTATATGCCAATGAACCCTTACATATTACTTCTATAAACCCGTTGATCAACTCTCCAGCCCCCAGAGAGAAGTATCCACAAATGTGAAATTTGAAAACCATTTTTCCTAACTATGACCGTGGTGTCTAGACTTTGTCCTTACGCACAAACCGTTATTCCACAACACGAAGATTGCTGGCTCCACGGGACAGGGAGATTCTGCAGTCTTCTGATGGATGCTATTAAAGCTGAAGACTGAAAGATACTTTGGTGGTATAGCTGGGAACAGATTCTGTAACAAGAGGAACAAGTCGATTCAACCAGTCCCCATTTTATCACCAACTGGAGCTACAAGCCATGGCTTAGGTCACCACACAAGTTACTACTTCATATGTTAAGGGTAGAGATAAATGCACTCTCCTGTCCCCATTAAGGGTGACATTTGCCTTCACCAATCCTAGTCGTGCATTAGAAAACATTTACATCTAGAAGAGAATTCTTAACCCTCCTTCTTTTGCAATCTCTCCAACAGACTCACACAGCTGCATCAGGATCTGGGAACCTTTATGACCCTAAAATAATACCAACTGACAAAAGAGAAATCAAAGGCCAAGGACCTGAGACCGTGGACACCAGGTAGAAGGGAAGACGGTTCGGGAGCAAAGTTGGGCTATTCCTAAGCCAAGTAGGATCTTAGGAAATATGCCTTTTCTTAGTCTTGCTGTTGATACAGGTTACTGCCCACTCTGTCTTCACAGCCAAATTCTGTCAAAGGATGGTCTAGACCAATGGCTCTCCAGGTGAGGCTCCCGGACCCAAGGCATCAACATCACCTGGGAACTTGTTAGAAATGCACGTTCTAGGCCCTACCCCGGACCAGGCGAGTCAAAATCTCTGAGGGCGGGGCCTGCAGGTGATTTTTTAGGTTCACTAATGCTTGAGGACCAGTGAGGAGTTTCACTTCCTCATCATGCTTGAATCACATGACGTTGGAGGGTCACATGTCTCACTAAAGCTACCCTTTTTCCTTACAGCTTTGGACTCTGGGTCTGACTCAGACGTTAGAGTGAAGGGGAAGGAGAGAAAAGAGGGAAGACACCACGATGAAGAAAAGCAAACAAACTTTAAGAATATGCCCAACCACATATAGGTTGAACTGTTAAGAAACTGTCATTTTTGGGGATGCCTGGGTGGCTCGGACAGTTAAGCATCCAACTTCAGCTCAGGTCATGATCTCATGGTTCATGGGTTTGAACCCCACATCGGACTCTGTGCTGACAGCTCAGAGCCTAGAGCCTGTTTCAGATTCTGTCTCTCTCTCTTTCTCTCTCTCTCTCTCTCTGCCTCTCCCCCACTTGCACACTCTCTCTCTCTTAAAAATAAACTTTAAAAAAATGTAAAACAAAGAAATTGTCATTTTTACAGGTAAAAACCAGCTGAATATTGGCAATGTCCTGTGAACCAACATGAACATATGAAGGATAGAATTATTATAATTATTTAGAAATAAATGAATGAGTTCAAAAGCTATCATCACTAGAGGAGCCTGAGTGGCTCAGCTGGTTAAGCGTCTGACTTCGGGCTCAGGTTCTGATCTCAGGGTTCATAAGTTCAAGCCCCACGTCAGGCTCTGTGCTGACAGCCCAGAGACTGGAGCCTGCTTTGGATTCTAGGTCTCTCTCTGTCTCTGCCCCTCCCCCACTCATACTCTGTCTCTCAAAAATAAATAAACATTAAAAAAATTAAAATGAAAAAAGCTATCAACACTAAAGTTAAATTTTAAAAGCAAATTATGTTATCGTTGACCAACAGATCCAAAGCTAAATACCTGTGTTCTCTAATTCTTTCTTGCATTTTTAAACAATAACTCTAAAATGTAACTATGAACAAATCAACAAAATACAACAATGAAGGTTTACCCAAGAGGAAAATTATACAACCCAAAGATAAATTTTGACAAAATAAATGGTTCTCTATTTGTTTCATGTTTCACACAAATTTCTAATTTATTTGACAATATTTGGTTTTCTCAAAGATTTTTTAGTGTTTATTTTTGAGAGAGAGAGAGAGAGAGAGAGAGAGAGAGAAAGTGGGAGAGGGGCAGAGAGAGAGGGAGACAGAGGATCCAAAGTCGGCTCTGTGCTGAGAGCAGAGAGACCATTGTGGGGCTCAAACTCATGAACCGTGAGATCGTGACCTGAGCTGAGGTTGGACATTCAACCGACCAAGCCACCCAGGCGCTCCTGTCTCATAATATTTCAACATCCAAGATTAGGGATGACCGAATAGATCGGAGATAAAAGTTTTAATTTGACAAATAAATGATGTCTTTCAGTGCTGTCATGAAACCCCTGAATAGCTACATGTGACCAATCATCTTTAGTCCATGAATGGGGGGTGGGGGGCGGGCAGCAAGCCCACATGCAAATTTTCTGAGGGTGACCGAGGTGCACATTTTCAAAGCTCTGGGGGCCAGGGCCACCTCCTCCCTAAATCCACCTGCGGGACATCTTTCTGCCAGGTCCCTACCTAACTCACAAAAACAAGGACCTGGAAAAGTAAGAGAGAACTCTCAGGCATCCATACCCAGGAAGCAGGTGGCAATTAGAAAAACAAAGAGTGACTTATGCTTTTTTCCTGTGTTTGTGTGCTTGTGGCAGAAAGAAGGGCTTCTGACATTCCGGAAAAGTCTTTGGAAAACAGCCACTGGGGAAAAGGCTTCCCGCCCTTTCCTGAGGTCCTGTGACCACCCGCGCTCCTCTGTAATATCACCACCCGTGGGAAAACCAGAGCTAACCCAACCTAGGTACCAGTCTGCCACCTCGCGTTTCTCCTTGTGATTTTTATATATAAGTGGACCTTGATTTATGTAACCCAACTTTTCTAAAGTTGAACTTAAATGGACTTTGAAATGGAATCTTACCTTCCCATTAACTAGGATAGCCTTTTGTCAATGTCATTTAGTTACAAACTCATACACAGTCAGTAATGCCACGTCTGAAGTGTATGCTCCTTGTCCTGTCAAATAGTTGATGACAAGTACACTAGAAAATGTTAGTATTTTAGAGAAACTATAGATATTTGGTACGTGGAAAAATAACCAATTAGCATGTTGTCGATGTGACTCGTGTCAAATGTGTCGCATGAGCGCACAGAATCCTGTATGTTTATTTAAAAGAATTTTAAAAGTGATTAACGTACCTCTTTCTTTAAGATCTTCAATATAGGCTTTCAAAAATTCTTTATCAAAGTGTTGACGATCTTGTTCACTTTCCATCACTTCCACACCGTCTTCACACTGGGTATTATCAATAGGATTGTCCATAAGGCTTACAAATCTATTCGAGAAAATATGGACAGTATCACATTTTCACCTGTGCGTTTTCAACCGCAACATTCCTCTCACATGAAGTGAAGTTTTGTGGTACCGAATCGCAAGTTCTTGGTTATCCTTGAAGGTCACAGCCGGCCACATAATATTAGCGTCACCAGTGGAACTGCCCTGTGGAAAAATCTAACAGGATTATGGGAGCAGTCCTGCCTGCTCAGGGCCTGCTGGGAAGATGAGAGCTACTTAGATGCAAAGGACAGTGGACAGGAGGCCCTGAGACAGACGCTAACACTTGCTCACAGTCAGGCCCTTTAAACTGGGTGATGTCTTGGGGTGCCTGGGTGGCGTAGTCGGTTAAGCGTCCGACTTCAGCCAGGTCACGATCTCGCGGTCCGTGAGTTCGAGCCCCGCGTCGGGCTCTGGGCTGATGGCTCAGAGCCTGGAGCCTGTTTCCGATTCTGTGTCTCCCTCTCTCTCTGCCCCTCCCCCATTCATGCTCTGTCTCTCTCCCAAAAAATAAATAAATGTTGAAAAAAAAAATTTTTTTCAAACTGGGTGATGTCCAATGGAATAGAATAGAAACCCCAGAACTAGACCCACAAACGTATGGCCAGCTAATCTTTGACAAAGCAGGAAAGAACATCCAATGGAAAAAAAGACAGTCTCTTTAACAAATGGTGCTGGGAGAACTGGACAGCAACATGCAGAAGGTTGAAACTAGACCACTTTCTCACACCATTCACAAAAATAAACTCAAAATGGATAAAGGACCTGAATGTGAGACAGGAAACCATCAAAACCCTAGGGGAGAAAGCAGGAAAAGACCTCTCTGACCTTAGCCGTAGCAATCTCTTACTTGACACATCCCCAAAGGCAAGGGAATTGAAAGCAAAAATGAACTATTGGGACCTCATGAAGATAAAAAGCTTCTGCACAGCAAAGGAAACAATCAGCAAAACTAAAAGGCAACCAACGGAATGGGAAAAGATATTTGCAAATGACACATGGGACAAAGGGCTAGTATCCAAAATCTATCTGTAAAGAGCTCACCCAACTCCACACCCAAAAAACAAATAATCCAGTGAAGAAATGGGCAGAAAACATGAATAGACACTTCTCTAAGAGTGGAGGTTCCTCAAAAAATTAAAGATAGACCTACCCTATGACCCAGCAATAGCACTGCTAGGAATTTACCCAAGGGATACAGGAGTACTGATGCATAGGGGCACTTGTACCCCAGTGTTTATAGCAGCACTCTCAACAATAGCCAAATTATGGAAAGAGCCTAAATGTCCATCAACTGATGAATGGATAAAGAAATTGTAGTTTATATACACAATGGAGTACTACGTGGCAATGAGAAAGAACGAAATGTGGCCCTTTGTAGCAACGTGGATAGAACTGGAGAGTGTGATGCTAAGTGAAATAAGCCATACAGAGAAAGACAGATACCATATGGTTTCACTCTTATGTGGATCCTGAGAAACTTAACAGAAACCCATGGGGGAGGGGAAGGAAAAAAAAAAAAGAGGTTAGAGTGGGAGAGAGCCAAAGCATAAGAGACTGTTAAAAACTGAGAACAAACTGAGGGTTGATGGGGGGTGGGAGGGAGGGGAGGGTGGGTGATGCGTATTGAGGAGGGCACCTTTTGGGATGAGCACTGGGTGTTGTATGGAAACCGATTTGACAACAAACTTCATATATCGAAAAAAAAATTTTTTTTAATAATAAACTGGGTGATGTCCTACTATGTTTGCTATGACTCCCAATCGGTGTTATCAAACTCTAAAACGAGGTGGGTTAAGTTACAGAGGACACTCAATAGACAAAATCCCCACAACAAAAAAGATGGAAAGGAAAGAAACGAAAATGGGCTTTGATCTGTCTTTACAGTTTTGAAAGATGTTTTGATGTGAAAAGCGATGTTATTATTTCAATTAAAAATAGGAAATCCCTGGGGCGCCTGGGTGGCGCAGTCGGTTAAGCGTCCGGCTTCAGCCAGGTCACGATCTCACGGTTTGTGAGTTCGAGCCCCGCGTCGGGCTCTGTGGTGACAGCTCAGAGCCTGGAGCCTGTTTCCGATTCTGTGTCTGCTTCTCCCTCTGCCCCTCCCCTGTTCATGCTCTGTCTCTCTCTGTCCCCAAAATAAATAAAAACGTTGAAAAAAAAATTTTTTTTTAAATAAATAAATAAATAAAAATAGGAAATCCCTCAGGGCACCTGGGTGGCTCAGTGGGTTAAGCATCTGACTTCGGCTCAGGTCATGATCTCACCGTTCGTGGGTTCGAGCCCCGCGTCAGGCTCTGTGCTGACAGCTGGGAGCCTGGAACCCGCTTGGGATTCCGTGTCGCCCTCTCTCTCTGCCCCTCCCCCACTTGCACACACACTCTCTCTCTCTCAAAAATACATACACGTTAAAAAACAATTTTTTTTTAATAACAAGAAAAAAAAAAAAGGAAATCCCTCAAAAAGTCTTTGGTCTGTGGGCCCGGCCGGCTTGGGCGGTAGCCGTTCTCATTGGTTTGTAGAAGTTCTATATACATGGAAGATAAAGCCACCCATCTGTCCTATTTCAGTACGCATATTCCTTAGTTCATTTCCCTTTTAACTTTAATGTCTAACGTGGAGAGAGCAACAAAGTTGTAATTTCCTTTGCAAGCTTTTTCATTGAATTAATTTTATCACCCTGCGCAATCCAGGGAAAAAAAAAAGCCTGTAGGTTATCATTCTTCAATGTTCTATCCAAGTAATCGCTGTCTGTATTTTATTTTTTTCTGTTTATCTATTCATTTTGAGAGACAGAGAGAACGAGAGCAGAGGGGAAGAGAGAGAGAGAGAGAGAGAGAGAGAGAGAGAGAGAGAGAAAGAGAGAAAGGGAGAGAGAGGGAATCCCAAGAAGGCTCTAGGCCATCAGCTCAGAGCCCGACACAGGGCCTGGATCCCGTGAACTGTGAGATCATGACCTGAGCTGAAATCAAGAGTCAGATGCTTCGTCGACTGAACCACCCAAGCGCCCCTGTATGTATTTTAAAATTTGATAGGCACAAGGATACTTTTTATTGAAAGCCATGGTCTCTAACCCTGCCTCTGTCTGTCAGATCCCAGAGGCGAGCTCTTTCATCTGTGAATCATTATTTTTACTTAACCTGCCGGAAATCTCTTTTACGCAGGACAAATACTTCAATGTTGTTACATCAAGTGGAGGCATCCCTTCTCTTCCCTTCAGTTGCCCGACCCTCCCACCTCCCAGTTTTTACGATCCATACTTTTACTTTTTCAACATCCTAATGTGAAATTTTTCCAACGTTCAAAAGGGTCGAAAAAATTTTACAGTGAACACCCCATACCCACCACCTAGGTTCCATACGTAAGATTTTATGGCTTTTGCCTTATCACACACCCAGCCGCCCTCCCTCCATCCACTCATCAGGCCGTCTTATTTTTTGATGCATTCAAAGCACATCGCAGACATCACGTACTTAGCACATCGCAGGCAGACATCACGTACTTTTTACTTTTGCATTAACACCAACGCTGTCCGCATTCTGATCCAAAACCGTATTTAACTTTTCTGTCTTGCCTGAAGTTTGATTCTAAAGTTGAAAAATTTGTATTCTTGGGACAATTATCTGGGAAGGCTTGGTGATGCCTTCCCCCTGGGGAGGCTCCAAACACAGAATTCCAGGGTCTTTCCCCCAGGGCCACCCTAGAGGAAACCTCAGACTTTTGGTCAGGGGGCCAGACTGCGGGGGATGAGTGGTCTGCTGGATGGAATCGAGGAGGAGATTGGAAGGTGGGGGGGGTCATCTGTTTACATGAGATTTTCCTTTATTTTTAGCACCATGTCTCAGGCTGCACCAACACGTGCCTGGAATTTCTGACCTCAAGCTTCTTCGGAGTTCTCCAGGGCAAATGGGCTCAGTTTCTTGGTTTTTAAACTTGAGGCTACTCCGTACAATTTTTATCAGTCACCACTGTTCTGTCTGCCGTTTGTCTCCCAAAGTTGTGTTATTGTCTCTCATTCTGGGAAAGCCTTCTCCCGCTTTCCTGATCATTGCCGATTGTAGGTTTTATTATTTTCCTCATCTCAGCGGGGTCTCCAGAAGGATAGGTGTTAAATACATGGTCAATCTACCATAATTAACACCTTATTCCTTTTATAGTTTTCTTTTTATATTTAATCTGTGGCTTTCTCTATATGTCTTCCTACATGCTATATACGATATACAGCACATACGTGGCTATGTGCCGTAAGCCGTCTTATGCTATAAAGTGACGAACAGACTTTGTCTTTCCCTGAGTAGCCAACTTCCTTAATGGCGTATTAAGTCACTCATACCTTCCCCACTGGTTTATGAAAATCCCTGTATCATATACTAGGGTTAATTTCAGTACTACCTATTCTGTTCTAATAATTCACCTACGAATCATTGCCTAACACGACCTCATTTTAATTATTACACGCCAGTTTTTTTGTTTTTAGTTTATTTATTTATTTTGAGAGAGAGAGAAAGAGAGAGAGTGAGCGTGGGAGGGACAGAGAGAGAGAGAGAGAGAGAGAGAGAGAGAATCCCAAGCAGGCTCTACATTGTCAGCATGGAGCCCGATGCGGGGTTCGAACTCACAAACTGTGAGGTCATGACCTGAGCTGAAACCAAGAGTCGGACACTTAACCCAAATGAGCCACACAGGTGCCCCGTTATTCTACCTTTTAAACCCATCATAATTCTCAGTAAGGCAAATTCTGCCCCGTCACTCTTGTTTTCCAAAGTTATCATTGCTGTTCCTAGCTTTTTGCCTTTTAGGTATACTTTCACATCAGCTTTTCAAGTTCCAAAAAAAGAAATTCCACTGGAGTTATGGTTGGGATCATATTATACACTTAAGTATAATTTTTGGAAGAAATCATATGTTTATAGTCTTTTCATCCAGAAAAGATAAGTATGTCTTTCCAAATATTCAAGACCTCTTCGATAGGCTTTGGGACCACTTTTCAGTTTCTTATAAAGAGCTATTTTGCTAGCACTTTGTCTAGATTTCTTTTTTAGGTTTTTATATTTTTGGTTAATACTATTACTGTCATTATTCCCTTCCACTATTTTTCTATAGGTTATTTATAGAAGTCTTAATGAGAACTTATATCTAGGGGTTTTTTTTATTAAACTTTTAGGGGCGCCTGGGGGGCTCAGTCGGTTGAACGTCCGACTTCGGCTCAGGTCACGATCTCACACTTCATGGGTTCAAGCCCCTTGTCAGACTCTGTGCTGACAGTTCAGAGCCTGAAGCCTATTTCGGATTCTGTGTCTTCCTCTCTGTCTCTGTCCCTCCCCCACTTGTGCTCGGTTTCTCTCTCTCAAAAATAAATAAACATTAAAAAAAATTTACACTTTTATTAATTCAAAGAGCTTCCATCTGATTCTTTGAGATTTCCAAGTCCTACAATTATTATCGTTTGACATGACTTTAGTTGCCTGCACACAGGTCAGTTTTACCCTGAGCGGAAGTCTCCTGACCGGAAGTCTCCCTCCTCCCGTGCATCCTTGGTTGAGAAGCTGTCACGCCTGCTCCCAGCTGGCTGAATGTGGAAGGGGCTTAAGGGTGGGTCCTGCCAGCCCTCTCACCAGGGGCCCCTTCTCATCCAGAAGACATTCCTGGGACAGCCAAGGACAGGGGAGGACCCATTCCAGTGGAAAGAGTATGGTGGGGCAGTGGGGAGATGTCATACCCCATTCATCTTGTGATTACACAGTGATGGATGTAGTCTCTCTCTTTGCAGTTGTCAACTTCTTTATTTCTGTCTGCTAGGCATCTTATTGCCAGGATTGGAAGACGAGGAAGATTTATGCTGATAGTGAGCATTTACCACTGGAAGAATTGGGCGCCCCTGGGAAAGAGCCCCTTGAATGATGGTCTTAGCCAACAACTGGTACTCAAGGCAGGTGGACACTCTGGACACAGTGATGAAATGGCTGTCACTGGAGTGGCCTCGTGTAAAGCTTCCTGGAATGGGTCAAAACGGGCTCAGGAGAGAGGTGATGGGGGGACCCCCAAAGCCTCAAATTCTGGCAGCCAGGAGCCGAGGGGATGTGCCCTGGGGTCAGCTTCAGGAGAGGGTGGAGCGGGGGCTTTTCAAGTCCACTGCCAAGGTAAGAAAGACCGTTCAGTGTCTCACGCCAGATTGGAATCTGTTTGTGTCACATTTGCATGGATGGTTTTTCTGAGTTTGGGGTGGTTTACACATACCTTTAAGGAAACCAGAGAGCGAGGCCACCAGGAAACATTCAAAGCCACTGACCCTCCAGGCTCAACAACAGACCAGGGAGCCCTGGACAACTGCCCTGTCACGCTTCAAACAGCGGTAGCATTTGCCCAGAAATCCTCTGAGTTCTACCTCCCCGTGCCAGTGGCCAAAACCTTCAAAATCCTGTAAAAAGGCATCGGAACCTCTGTGAACCTCTGTGAACAGGGATCAGGTCCTCAGAGCACAAGAACCACCTCATCTGGTTCCTGAAACAGGCGGGCGCCCAGGCTCCAGGCTCCAGGCACTCCTTACCTTGTGTCTGACTGTCTCTACTGGGATCTACTCACTTTAAAGGTGTGGACGAGTCACACAGGGCCGTGGGGAGCTCCACCAAATGGTCCCCACTGACGACTAACAAGGCCAGCTTCTTTAGGTTAAGCAAGGCGTACGGAAGGTAGGTCAGTTTGTTCTTATACAAGATAAAGGTCTGCAGCTCTTCTAGCCTAAGAAGGAGCAAAAGGCAATAAACTCAGGACTGACTTCACAGCTGAAAAACCAAAGCGAATGACACATCGATTCTGGTGTGAAATCCCTACGCAGTTTATCTTGTATAGGCGACCCCTGCGAGAATAAGCTGACTTCAAAATTTAAATAGAGTCATGCCAGGTGACATGAATTTTAAGTTAGCTGGCTTAATTGGCAGCCGAAGACCCAAGGAGAGCAGCGGGACAAGCAAACTGCACAATGTGCACGAGGCCGAGAGGGGGCCTGACACCCGGTCATCCCTCCAAGGAGCCGTCGCATTCCCCGGGGTCAGCGGGGCGAAGGGAAAGGACCCGCCCTGGAGCTGGGCTGAGAACGAACAGATTTGGGCAACATATTGCCTTGTGCACATCTGGAAAGCACAGTATTCCTCCCCCGTCTTATTTCCTATCTTTGAAATGGAAAAGCAACCCGCAGAATGAACAGGAAACGAGCGAACTACGCTCCAGCTGTGTTTCACTTCTTTCCCATTTTATTCTAACTCAGTGACACCCCCCGCCCCTCCAGCTTTTTCTTGCATTCACTTGCAAAACCTTGACTGATCCCACAAATATTTCACAGAGTTCCCCTTGTGTTTCAAAGTAGAGCAGTTCCCACTTAGTCTCACAACCTGGAAAGCACCGATGCACTACAGGTGCCAAAAGTACAGAAAGGTCACATGAGTGACCTTCAGAACTGAGCCAGTTTTGGCCTCTGTGTCATAACAGCTTACTTATTATTATATACTTTAAGTATACTTAGAGTAGTAAGTATTACTTACTTATTACGATATTGTTATAATGAAGACTGTGGATGTAAAACCATGTTAAACTCTGGACCAGCCATGCAGGAGCCTAATATTATTGGTGGAATGAATGAATGAATGAATGAATCTTACATGATCCAGTGTAATTTTTTTTTTTTTTTTTTTTTTAAGTAAGCTCTACACTCAACGTGGGGCTTGAACTACGACCCTGAGATCAGGACTCGCATATTCTACTGACTGAGCCAGCCAGGCACCCCAGTGTGATTATTTTTTTTTAAAAATGACAGGGGCGCCTGGGTGGCGCAGTCGGTTAAGCGTCCGACTTCAGCCAGGTCACGATCTCGCGGTCCGTGGGTTCGAGCCCCGCGTCGGGCTCTGGGCTGATGGCTCAGAGCCTGGAGCCTGTTTCCGATTCTGTGTCTCCCTCTCTCTCTGCCCCTCGCCCGTTCATGCTCTGTCTCTCTCTGTCCCAAAAATAAATAAACGTTGAAAAAAAAATTAAAAAAAAAATGACATACAAGTATATAATTGGAAAAAACTTACTAACCGTATCAATTTCGTTTGAAAGATTTGGTACAATAAACCAATAAATGAAACCAATAAAAATGATCCTTACTGATACTATAAACAGAGTGGTAATATGTATAAAAACACAGAGTGACAGGTTTCTATTCCATAGATAATAAGCATGCTTTTCCATTTCTGCAGAATAAAAGAAAGCTAATGATAGCTTTCTATTGAGGACAGAAGTAAATTAAAGTTCACCAAGACCATGAAGGTGTGTTCAAATGCACATTTATGTGCACACACACGTATGACACAGACTGGAAGTTGTCTTATTATTTCGCACAGACACATCTCCCAGAAACACCAAACTCTTGGGAAGATTCGTTGATTTTGAAGACCATTCATGGGTTACACATGTTTAAAGTGGCGACGGTATTTAAGGCGTTAGTCACTAATGCACACACACCTCACCTTCAGAATGCGAGTAGCTACCTGTCTATATCTTGGGGCAGGTCGGTCAGGCTATTGTTGCTGATATCCAACCACTGCAAATTCGACATCCTCAGGACACAGATCGGGACACTGGCAAACTTGTTTGCCGCGATATCTACGAATGTCACTTGCTTCAAGTTACTTAACTAGAAAGGAATAACAACAGGTATACTCTAATTACTTTTCTAGAATGAAGTTCGACTAATAATTTCTAGGTGATGTTTCTTCTCAAAGGCACCTCTAAAAATCTACGCAACACGGACCCATATAACATGAATTTTGGAGCACCTACGGATGTGCTCCATGCTGGGGGTACTAAGATCGACGGCACATAGAGGGCTGCCCTCAAGGAGTTCACACTTTCCAAAATAAGCAGTGCACTTTTTACAGCAAGAACTAACGTGAAGAAGGTTTCAACTGGCAGTGTTCGGTAACACAGACATAAGTGGCTAATATGCCAACGTCAAGGTGGAGTAAGGGTCAGGGGTCAGGAAAGACTTCATGGAGAATGGAGTATTTGCACTGGGTCCTGAGGTTCCTCGACAGGTGGGAAGACAGGGAAGGCAACTCCAGGTGGGGAACAGCCTGTGCAAAGTCCCAGAAAACAAAAAAGCACAAGCTTTCGAGAATAGAATGACTTGAAGACAGCCAAAGGAGTTCCAACAAATCTTAAAAAGCCTCAGAAAGGGACAAGGCAAATGATCAGAGATCTCTACTATTTCAGGGTTGTTTTTTTTTAATATAATTTCGATCTCTACTATTTATGTCTTATCTCCATAATCTGTGTTTTTAACATGGTGACGGAATCTGTAGGGGAATATACTTTTTTCAGTTTATTTATTTATTCTGGGAGAGAAAGTACGAGTGGGGGAGGGGCAGAGAGAGAGAGGAAAAGAGAGAGAATCCCAAGCAAGCCCCATGCTGTCCGTGCAGAGCCCAACACGGGATTCAAATCCACAACCATGAGATCATGACCTGAGCTGAAATCAAGAGTCGGACGCCCAACCGACAGAGCCACCCAGGCGCCCTGGGAAATAGACTTTTTTTCTTTCAAATGCAAATCTATGAACAGCGAATAAAGCAGGAAAATGTCTCTCATGTTTGGATTTGATTTAGTAACTCAGGTCGTGACTATGAAATACATAATAAGGAGCTACCTTTTACTGGCTTATTCTGAGAGTCCACAAATAAAACCTGAGCTGCCTCTCAGAATACATTTTCAAAACGGTTCCACAATATGGAACCAACTGGACCAATAGGAGGAATTACTGAAAAGTAGAGGAAAGAAGCAGTAGGTTTATGCCTCTATTTACCTGAATATAATACCTAATTCCATATTGCCAAATTCGCCCAAGCGAGGCACAGTCCAGAGTGGTCCTATTGAATGGGCACATCCTAATTTTGCTCTTGTTTTGAATTTATAAAAAGAAATGTGAAGGGCCGCCTGGGTGTCTCAGTTGGTTGAGGGACTAACTCTTGATTTCAGCTCAGATCATGATCTCACAGTTCGTGAGCCTGAGCCCCACATCGGCTCTGCACTGACAGTGCGGAGGCTGCTTGGGATTCTCTCTCTCTCTCTCTCTCCCTCTCTCTGCCCCTCCTCCCCTTCTCTCGAAAAAATAAAATGTGCAAGGTATCAGAAAAGGATTTGGGGAACGCCTAAAAAAATGAGCATGAAGACAGTAATGTGACAGTCAAAGAAGATGCTTTGGGTGCCCACGATTCAGTCTGAACTTCCTGACTGTGTGGCCAGGGTTATCAGATCAGCAGAAAAATCAAGACTGAACTATCCTCTGTCTCTCGTCTTTCTTCTTTTTTTTTTTTTTTTTATTTTTTTTCAACATTTATTTATTTTTGGGACAGAGAGAGACAGAGCATGAACGGGGGAGGGGCAGAGAGAGAGGGAAACACAGAATCGGAAACAGGCTCCAGGCTCTGAGCCATCAGCCCAGAGCCTGACGCGGGGCTCGAACTCACGGACCGCGAGATCGTGACCTGGCTGAAGTCGGACGCTTAACCGACTGCGCCACCCAGGCGCCCCTCGTCTTTCTTCTTTTTACGATAAACGTAGAAAGTACATTTTTTGGACTGTAAAATAAATTACTGGGGATATTTAAAGGAAATAATGTAAGACATCTGTGAAAATTAGAATAAGGAAAATCACAGTGGTATTCAACTAGCAAGGAGACAGAAGGCCCAGTTCTAGCCATTCCCCACTAGCTACTTTCATCAAGGGCAAAGCAAAACACTCACAAACTCTTTTGAAAGGTAATTCTATTTGTCTGAAAATTCCAGTGTCGTCCAGATAAAAATCTGACGTTCAGTCATAATAAATACAACACGCATTTACACAGCAGTTTCATTATCTTTACCTTTGTCTCAAAATTCCTGACGGTTCCTTCCCGTAACTTTCTATACGTCATTTATTCTACTCGCTGTCTATTTGAATTTGAATTCAGGATTACGTCAATTATTTGTGAGAGAAGCATCCTCATGAAGACAGGGCACAACAATGTGACGGCATTGAACCCTACTGAACCATACACTTAAAAATGGTCATGATGGGGGTGCCTGGGTGGCTCAGTCGGTTAACCATCTGACTCTTGATTTCGGCTCAGGTCGTGATCTCAGTTTGTGGGTTCCAGCCCCACGTCAGGCTCTATGCTGACAGCTCAGAGCCTGGAGCCTCTTCGGATTCTGTGTCTCCCTCTCTCTCTGCCCCTCCCCTGCTTGTGCTCGCTCACTCTCTCTCTCTCAAAAGTAAAAAATGAACATGAAAGAGAATTTTTTAAAAAATAATAAAAAAAACGGGGCGCCTGGGTGGCGCAGTCGGTTGAGCGTCCGACTTCAGCCAGGTCACGATCTCACGGTCCGTGAGTTTGAGCCCCGCGTCGGGCTCTGGGCTGATGGCTCAGAGCCTGGAGCCTGTTTCCGATTCTGTGTCTCCCTCTCTCTCTGCCCCTCCCCTGTTCATGCTCTGTCTCTCTCTGTCCCAAAAAATAAATAAATGTTGAAAAAATAAATAAATAAATAAATAAATAAATAAATAAATAAACTACTTATGTTATAAAAAAAATAAATAAAAAATAATAAAAATGGTCACGATGGTAAACATAATGTTAGTTTTTTAACAAAAAAAAAATTTTTTTTTTAACGCTAACATTTGGATATGGCATCCGGGCAAACAGTGGTTTCCTGAGTTTGTAGACATCAGAACCTGGGGTGCTGTGTGCTTCCACTGGGTAAATACAAGTTGGACACGTGAGGCTGAGATGCCCTCACAGATGACACTCCCTTTAACATGACCGTGCAGCCTGTCTTCAGGTATATGGTTTTTCATCTATCTTGACTAAACCACAGTTTGAACAGATAGTTGACAATGATGGCCACTGAGAACCATTCAGGACTGAATTCGCGAAGTTATAGATAAGAAGAATCAGTGAACTATTAGAACGCAGCCAACTGGGGAAGCATAACAAATACTGTGCATTTATGGAATCCCATTCAAAGCAAAGAGCCTAAAAAATCTATATCCAGAGACCATTTGCTCCCGAGGGTGTCAATATAGTTTCGGTGAACTGGGTGAAAAACAACAACCCTAATGGTGATTGCTTGGTGCTGCCTGATAGGCCAGCTCATGGGGATTAACTGCGAGGAGGCAAGACAGAATTTCGAGGGCGAGATAGAAATATCCTACAAGTGAATTCGGTGGATCGTACACTTACAATGGCTGAACTGGGGGCCGTATGAATTATATTTCAACAAAGGGGGCAGGCGAAGAGAAGGGACAGAGAAGCAAGCCTAGGAGGCTAGGTCAGGTGATGGACAACACGGGCTTGGACTAGGGTGTTGGTGGCAAGGTGCTGGGCGGGGGTCAGATACAGAATATATTCTAAAGGGCATGCTCAACAGGACTTATTTACAGAGGGCAGAGACAGAGGGGAAGACGCAGAACCCGAAGCAGGCTCCAGGCTCTGAGCTGTCAGCACAGAGCCCGACGCGGGGCTCGAACTCACAAAACCGTGAGATCATGACCTGAGCCGAAGTCGGACCTCAACCGACTGAGCCACCCAGGTGCCCAGAGCCATTTTCTAAACTAAGGAGGCTTGGGGAATGAGCAGTCTTATGAAGGGGGTCACGCCCTTGGGGGGGCACCCCTCACCTGGACCACTGTCGGGCATTTCCTGGGGCGACAGTAGAAGCGACTACTTCCTCCCACCCAGAAGTTTCCAGGCAAGGACAATAACACCCCATCTAGGACTATAATCAGTGGGCGTTGGCAGGACCACATGAGCACTACTGTTTCCGGTGTGTTCATTACCAGTTCGTTACCATGAGATCCATATCTCCCTTCAGCATAAGAAGCCTGTTGAGTTTTATTTGGCAATAAACTCTGCTCCCTTTCAGCTGTTCCATTTTATCAGAATATGATGTTAAGTCATGAGTGAATACAGACCAAAAGTAATGAACTTAATTCATTTGATTTCGATTAATGAACTTTTAAAATCCTATCTGTAAGACGATTTTTGTTACCTCTAAGTTTTGATGAATATATAAACTTTAAAAAAATCTTACCCCCTTTATTCCCATTTCTGATTTATTTCACCATTGCAGATAAGCATTACAGACAACAGGAATCTTACATTAAATAGGCATTTAATAAAAATATCCTGTGTGAAAATAGGACATTTTGCCTAGTTTTGTGTAGCTTTTTATTTGTTTTGTTTCTTTTAAGTTTATTTATTTTTGAGAGAGAGACAGAGAGAGTGAGCAGGGGAGGGGCAGAGAGAGAGGGAGAGAGAGAACCCCAGCAGGCTCCACGCTGCCAGTGCAGAGCCCAATGTGGGGCTCAAACCCACAAACCGTGAGATCATAACATGAACTGAAACCAAGAGTCGGACGCTTAACCAACCGAGCCACCCAGGCGCCCCAGTGTTTGTTTTTGTTTTGTTTTGATAGCTTTTCCGAACTTAAATTCAGCTCCTGGTCTAGTGTAAGAACATTTTCAAGGACCTTCTAATTGCTGGTATAGTGATTGACATGTCAAGAAAGTGTGATATAACAAAGACAGATTTCATCTTGTAAAACATCTTCCCCACGTTATAGACCATCCCACGTCATAAGTCAAATAAAAGTAAATCATAGTGCAAACGTGATCGCTTTCTTACTTCAAAGGGGAGCTCAGTTAATTCCAGATTTCCAGAACAATCCAGTTTCTCGAGATTTTCGCAGTCCCCCAGCTCCGGAGGGATGCTCTTCAGATGGTTGAAACTCACATTGAGTTCTCTCAGGTTCTTCAAACGACCTGTCATCAGAACAAATGAACATCCATGGGGTAGATCCCTTATGGTTTTTTTTAACGGCAAAAGCAAAACAAAGATACAACACGTTTGTACAAATGGTGGGGGGGGGGGGGAGAGACAGGAAACATAATTTTGTATTTGTTTTTTTAAGCACTTCACTAAGTGCCAGCTAGTCTTTCATCCTGAGCATGTTGGTCCTTGATCAGAGCGTTTTTTGCTTATTCTCTGTTTAATCCTTTGTCCAACTAGGCAGCCGCAGACCTTCACCCCTCACACCCCAAGAGAAGGAGAAGCAGTAGTGATCATCCGGTCTTCATTTTCAGCTACTGATGGAAATTTATCAAATGTTGATCAAAATGACCTACCAGGCTACACGAAACTCATCAACGGGCTAATATCCGGGACCGACTATTGTAGTTTATGTTTACAGTGAACATGTCATTGCACGTTCGTCTTTCTAAAACTGAAAGAAAATAGACACGAAGCTCCCAAACACGGCACTGCTCACTCGTGACACTTCTAGCTTCTGCGCAACTGGCCCATGTCTGCCTGTGCCGAGTTCCGCAGGCGGGACGGTGGCGTCGCTGCCCCAAGGGGACACTGCAAGCAAGCCAGCGGCTCTGGGAACACAGGAAACAGCCCCGTCCAAGCAGCCTCCCGGAGGGCCATGCTGCCTGCCCGCCAGCTGCCCGCTTCCCAGACCAGAACACCGAAGGCTCCCGCTGGGGAACATACCAATTTCAGCCGGAAGATGGGAGATTTGGTTTTTTGGCAGATCCAGAATTCTCATCGCTTGAAACAGCTCGATATAGGTAGGAATGATTTGAATCAGGGTATTGCTGATGTGCCATTCTTTTAGGTGTGTCTGCTCCTCCAACGAATCCGGGAGCTCCTGAAACAAAACGAACGACGTCAGTCACAACAAGTTCCTCAGCGTGTTGGGGCTGAGGGGCAGTGTGCACAAAGCCGCGTACATCGGGGCATCGATGTAGAAGACGAGAGAGCACGCGGGAGAGCGTCAGGCCTGACACCTTCGCCAGCTCGACAGCCACTTCACGAAGCCACTTTTAAGACTGTGTAGGGGCGCCCGGGTGGCTCAGTCGGTTAAGCGTCCGACTCTTGATTTCGGCTCAGGTCACGATCTCACGGTTCGTGGGTTCGAGCCCCACGTCGGGCTCAGGCCTGACAGCGCAGAGCCTGCTTGGGGTTCTCTCTTTCCCTCTCTCTCTCTCTCTCTCTCTGCCCCTCCCCTGCTCTCTCGCTTCCTTGCTCTGTCTCTCTCACCAAATAAATAAACATTAAAAAAATAATAAAAGAAAAGAAATCCAGACAGGTACCCAGTACCCACGGATCTCAATGATGGGGGCTCAGGAGAAAAAACACTAGAGGCCATACAGTGATCATCTCTCCCAGCATCAGAGGGCAGTGCAGCTAAGAAATCGGTGTCAGAAAATATCCACTCATTTGGTCGCCGCAACAGCCCTCGCGGGGGCCGACACAAGCATTAGCACCGTCTTACTGGGGGGGGACACAAAATATATAAAAGTGGGGTAAACTGCCCCAGGTCACATGGCCAATAAAGGACGGCCCCAGGATCACCCCCCAAAATTTAGTCTCTCGGCCCAGAGCCCCTTCAGCTAGAAGTTGGGGAGATAGAAAGAGATGAAGGGTAGGTCCCAGAGAGCCCTGTCCCCCAGAAAGGGACCACAGCCCAGGTTCACCTGCCCACAGCACAGCAGGTGCCGCTTCCACGAGTAAACCTCGGATCACGGGGCAAGCCCTGGAGGTGCCTCTCCAAGCAAAGCAGCAGGTCAGGGGCGGAGGGAGCAGGAAGCCAATGTAAACACCGGAGGAAAGAAAGGGAGCATCTTTGTCCTGGCCTCAGAATCTCAGAGGAAAAGCAGCTCAAGGGTCTGCCGAAATTCCTTTACTGCTCTACACACCCTGACACTTCAGCAAAGTCACCACCACCCGCTGGGAAATGTTCGGTGAAAGTCACAGTTCATTTAAAAAAAAAAAAAACAAAACAGAAACAAAAAAGGCCGGAGCGCCTGGGTGGCTCAGTGGGCTAAGTGGCTAAGCCACTGACTCAGGTCGTGATCTCGTGATCTCGTGGTTTGAGCCCCAGACATTGGCTCTGGGCTGACAGCTCAGAGCCTGGAGCCTGCTTGGGATTCGGTGTCGCCCTCTCTCTCTGACCCTCTTCCACACTTCCTCTCTCTCTCAAAAATAAATAAACATTAAAGAAAAAAAATTTTTTTTAAGGCAAAGTTATTTTTTTTTAATTTTTTTTTCAACGTTTTTTATTTATTTTTGGAACAGAGAGAGACAGAGCATGAACGGGGGAGGGGCAGAGAGAGGGGGAGACACAGAATCCGAAACAGGCTCCAGGCTCTGAGCCATCAGCCCAGAGCCTGACGCGGAGCTCGAACTCACGGACCGCGAGATCGTGACCTGGCTGAAGTCGGATGCTCAACCGACTGCTCCACCCAGGCGCCCCTAAGGCAAAGTGATTTTAAAGTCTGGGGGAGAGACGGCAGGATTAAGCATTTAAAGGCTGCGCCATTCTGGGGAGGGCCCACTCCCCCTTCCCCTCCCCCCCAGGTCCCAGCCCCTGCCAGCCTCGGAGGGATCCCAGGGGATCCTGCTGCCCCCTCCAGCAGGACGACAGGGTCTTACACAGAGGGAGGGATGTGAAAACCCGGTTCGGTTCGAAGCAGGCAACAGCCTCCTCCCCATCCAGGGGAAAGCTCTCTAGGGGCAGGAGCGCTCTCTGGGTCAGGGCCAAGGCCAAGGCCAACGCCCTGAGCTCAGCTCAGCAGCGCTCACCGGGCACCCCCTCGCTGCACACTCACCGTCCACTGCTCCCCCGAAAGTTCAAACACAAACGCACTGCTCCGTTTGTCTCTCTCCTTGGAAAGCAAACTCTGCCTGGTGAGAGAGTTCCTTTCGATCTTTTCCAGAAGCCTCACGCTGGTGTCTACGAAGCCATTCTTGCAGTACACAGCCTGGGGGATGCCTTTCCTCCTGCACTCGGCCACGAAATTCCACTCTTCCTTTATCCTAGACGGGCAGCAGAAGCCACAGTCACTCTCCTGGGGAACTGCCCTCACCTCCCCGGAGCAGCGGGCAGGTCAGCCTGGAGCTGGCACAGTCCCTCCCCAGGCCCGAGGCCCCAGCCCCCAGCCTAGGGGGACTTAAGCACCTGCCCAACCCTCAGTCCTCCCAGCTGAGCCTCCTCCCCCCTCATTTCCTCTGCTGCGGGAACATAGGGGGACCTTAAACCCTCAGAGGGTTTTCCGTTTGGTTTTGTTTTTTTTTTAACGCAGGGCGAAAAGAACATGCTGATCTTTCAAGGCCATCTGATTTGAGCTACACAGGCAGCCCCGGTTCTCCAGATACCTGACAGGCTTTGACAACTCTGTAGAGACCGAGGTGAACTTGTAGAAAACCGACAGCAACACAAATACTTCCCGAGACGGCGGGCACACAAATCGACTCTGTCCGGTGGACGGACGGCCCTCCTCCACCTCTGGAGACAGTCTGTTCCGGGCGCGGGTGCGTTTCAATATTCCTGCCACCTAAATGTGTGTGTCCTCTGGGCTCCCCTTGGACCCGGTTGTAACACCTTACTGCTCGTCCTTTTGTGCACCGTGAGGAAAAGGGGATTTTTAACACACATTCCTTTTATATCTATGGCAGCGCGAGGGCTTCACCTTTTTTAAAAGATGAACCTTTATCACAAGGTGGGTGTCCTCTGAGCGCTCGGGGTTTCAAAGGCTGGGCAGGGGTGCGGTGAGGCGAGAAGAGGAAGCCCAGACCCCTTGCCCTCATCCCTCCTCGGAATGGGACCGGCAGGGCCCAGAGAGTCGTGATCACCTCCTCATTTATGTAGTTTCAGCCGCTTTCTGTCCTGCCTGGCTTTTGTTTGACCCACCAGGCATTCTGTATTGGTTCTTTACTTCACACGATCCTAACTGCCCACTCCTGACTAAATGCGATGTGCAGACCCGAGAGGATGAGCAAGCAGGGAAACCACGGGCAAAGCCGCAGGGACGGCGCAGAACTGGCAAAAGAGCCCTGACTCGGGGCTGGGCCCACGCTTTTTAAGGAATCGCATGTGTTGAAATATCCTAGTAGGTGCTTCACAGACTCTTTCCTCCAGTCAAATGTTAGGAGTGTTAGCAGAGCTTGGTAGCAGGTCTAGTGTGTCATTAAATGTCAGTAATCCCCGGGGCGCCTGGGTGGCTCAGTCCGTTAAGCGTCCGACTTCGGCTCAGGTCATGATCTCACTGCCTGTGGGTTCGAGCCCCGCGTCGGGCTCTGTGCTGACAGCTCAGAGCTTGGAGGCTGCTTCGGATTCTGTGTCTCCCTCTCTCTCTGCCCCTCCCCAGCCTGTGCTCTGTGTCTCTCCCTCTCAAAAATAAATGAAAACATTAAAAAAAACAAAACAACCCTCAGTGTGATTAACCTGAATGAAAGAATCCAGACCAAAAAAGGGAATGATTCCATTTATAGACAGTGATTCCATTTGTGTGGAATATAATAAATGCAAAATAATCTTCCGTGGCAGGAAGGAGTGACTGCATGGGCACTGGGGGCGGGAAGTGAGAGAAAGGAGTCACCAAGAGTGAGAAAGGGGCTTGTAAGGTGACGGATAGGATCCTATCTGGATTGCGGGGATGGTTTTACAGATGTATACCTGGGCCAGACTTTTCAAATTATCTACTTGAAATGCGTACAGTTTATTGGGTGTCAGGTATACTCATCAATAAAGCTTTTATAAAATAAATGTCATGGGCCTCGTTTTAATCGCCTCCTGCATCCCTCCTCGACCCCCTTGCCCCTCTCTTGCTCCCTACTGTGCACTTGGACAAACTCAAGCGGGTACCCGCTGCTCCCCTGCTCTGCGCCTACGCCCACCCAGTACTCGGGCACGGGGGACAATTCGCGGCCTTGCAAACTGGCCTCGCTTCGACCCTCACTCCCTTCAGGGCTAAACCCAGCCCTCCAAGACTCAAGGACTTTCTGCAGGGGCTCTCTCTCTCAGTGTTTCGCTTTGGGAGACCATTCCCATCAGCGTATGAGCACGCGGTTACCTCTCCCAGCTTAAAGGGCACCCCCCTCCACCCCCGCAACCTCACGTCTCCCATGGGGCCCGCTTCTCTGCTCCACCTTACAGTCAACCCTACGAAAGAGCGGTGCTGGCTCACACCCACAATCCTTCTTTCCCACTCCACCCCACCCCCGTTCTCTGTTGAACCCCCGTCACTCACCATCACGGTTCTCTAGAAACTATTCCCAAGGTCATCATGACCTCCATTTTGCCAGACCCAGCGGTCAAATCCAGTCCTCACCTTCGCGGACCCATCTGCAACATTTGACACAGCCCTTCCTCCCCCGTGAAGCCTGACTGTCACTTGGCTCCCAGGACCCCTCTCTCTGCTGACTCCACTCCTGCCTCTCCAGCGACTGGGCTGCCTCCCCCCCGCCCCCCATCTCTTCCCAACCTCCAAATCCCCAAGGGCCCAACACCCAGCCCTCGGGCCTCTTCTCGTCTCTCTCTACACTCATTCTTTGGCTGTCTTTCAGTCTCATGGCTTTAAATATATCTGTATGCTATTGATGATCAGTTTTGTTTCTCTAGCCAAGACTTCCTCGCTGAATCCAGCCTCTTTGCTCCCCTGGAGCTTCACTTGAATGTCTAAAAGGCGTCCCGCAAACAACATGTTCCAGACCAAACTCCCGATCCTCACCCTAAAACCTGCCTCTGCCCCATTAAAGCCGTAAAAGCCTTTCAGAGGCTCTGGCTACAAACCTCAGGCTCATCATGGGCTCTGTGCTTTTTTCACACCTCGTAGCAAATCCGTCGAGGCATGTGATCGGTTCTACGAGAATCCGCACGCCTCACCACCTTCCCTGCTTCCATTCTTGCCCGTGTCCCCATCATCTCCTTGCAGGCACCACTGTTGTCCCCCCTACGGTCCAAATGCACCCAGCGGTTCGAGTAAGCCCATCACAATGCCCCCGATTCCTAATCTCACACAGCAAAGCAATGTCCTACAACACCGACAAGGCCCTGCAGGTCTGTGCCGTCACCTTGCCTGTCTGGCCACTGCACAGTCACTTGCTTTTTCTGCCCGCACGCTGGCCCCCTTGCTCTCCCTTGAACACCCACGCCAACGCATGCCTCAGTATTCACATTGCTGTTGTGTCTGCATTGGAACATTCGTTCCTGGATTTCTGCAGAGCTGGATCCCCAGGTTTCTGTGCAGACTTTTTGGTCTTTCGAAACTTTGAGTATCATTGGAGTTTCAAACTTGCCATTAAGCTGGGAGAAAGGGGAGTGTTTGAGAAAAGTATTTCGCCGATGGCCCTGGCTGGCCCAGCTGCCACCCTACCCAGGTCCTAGTCACTGAGCTGAGCTGAGGATAAGCACTCAGCAACCAAGTAGGTAGGGCTTCGGGTTCTACAAAGAAGTCTATACATAATGCAATAAAAGCAACAAACTTAAAAATACCCGCACATGGAGAGAGATGAATTTAATCCTGGGGGAAAGTGATGGGATTGGCTTGGCATTGTTACTTTTCATGATTAGCTCTTCTGTATAATGTAAATATTTTAATACCTGTGATAAAAAGAAATGCAAATACCTGCCCACAGATCTCGATCTGATTGTAGCGGTCAGGGATGTGGGCAGACCCTGGGTCTAAGACATGCTCCCTGAACGAATAGAAGAAATCGCCTGAATTGCCAACGAGCAATAGTACAGCCATCGCCAGGTCTTGGGTCCGCCAAGTACTTTTCAGGCTAATGCCTCCAGCTTTTCTACCCTCATTTCTTAGACCAAACCTGAAGGGATGCCCTTCCGATGTAATGAAATGATGCCCGTTAAGCCCTACAGAATGCACCCTTCCTATATTACACATTACAAACCGACGTAAGTAGCTCGCATATTTTGGTACAGCCAACATAAAAAGGAGAAAAAAAGGATATCAGACAGATTTCATTAAAAATAATCATTTACCACGGGGTGCCTGGGTGGCTCAGTCGGTTAAGCATCCAGCTCTTGATTTCAGCTCAGGTCATGATCTCATGGTTTGTGAGTTCCAGCCCCGTGTCGGGCTCTGTGCTGACAGTGGGGAGCCTGCTTGGGACTCTCTCTCTCGCTTGCTCTCTCTCTGTTCCTCCCCTGCTTGTGCACGCGCTCTCTCTCTCTCACTCTCAAAATAAATAAACAGACTTTAAAAAGTAAGCATATACCAAATGTTTTTTGGATTTCTTTTTTTTTAATTTTTTTAAATGTTTATTTATTTTTGAGAGAGAAAGAGAGAGATAATGCAAGCAGGGGAAGGGCAGAGAGAGAGAGGGAGACACAGAATCCAAAACAGGCTCCAGGCTCCGAGCCGTCAGCACAGAGCCCGACGCAGGGCTCGAACCCACGAACCGTGAGATCATGGCCTGACCCAAAGTCGGACACTTAACTGATTGAGCCACCCAGGTGCCCCATTTGGACTTCTTTTTAAATATTTTATGTCTCATTCCTTCCAAAACCTCATAAGAATATGAGCCCTTGTTTAGTGAGAGTCAAGGTGAACATACAAACTTTTTTTAATTCCATTCCCTTCCTTGAGAGTACTTCAAATAAGTAAGCTGTCTAGCATAATGTATAGAGTTGTCGAATCACTACGTCATACACCTGAAGCTAATGTGACATAGCGTGCCAGTTACACTTCAATAATAAAAAAAAAAAAAAAACCGATGGGGAAAAAAGATCAAATGAGATCAATAAACTGTCATTGTGTTTACACTTTATCACCCATATAATTGAATAACCTTCCCCTTGAATCAATTTTAATAGAATGTCAAATATGAGCCAAACACGTAAAACAATGCCCTTAGGGTCCTACTAATTAAATCGATCACGTGCAAACAAAACGTTGCAAGGAGCCTCGTTGGATGAGGAAATCATCCCTCGGACCCTGACAGCGACTCCTCTCTTTCTGTCCATCAGTGATTGGATTTCATTCAGGTAGGGATATTCTGTATTATGTCTCTACTTATAACTTCTAAGTTTTGATACATGCTTCATGGAACAAATTCAGTCTTACAAAATAAAGTACCATGAAGGGAGGTCACAGAGCAAGCCGCAGGGTTTGGCCTGTTTTCGTGAAATTAAATTAACCAGATAATTGCCTCTTACGATAAGGCATTCATCAGTTTTTCGACGTGTTAATGTCCTCGCAGGAAACAGATCTTGAGAGACCCAAGATTAACCTTCAGATAGTATTAATAATCACAGTATGAATCATATGATGGAAACTCAGCTACCTGCATAAAAAGGTAAATTTACTACCTGTTTTGCAGGTCTTGGGAAACCAAGAAGCTTCCTCCTTGAACACCTACGTTCCTCCCTCCACCATCACCACTTCCCCCTCACCTGCCCAGCCAGTTGGATGGCTTTTTTTCTTATCTTGAGCTAGAAAAGCCTAACGAATCCCTAAAAGGTTTTCTGTTCTTAGGACAAGATAGGACACAGCACAAGCCCAATGACCCCAAGCCCAATTCAAGGCCTACCTGGGGCACAAGAGACATGCGCACCTGTTCATGAAGGCGTTTAGCACCACAATGAACGACAGAGTCCAAGAGGCAAACACCACTCCAAAGCAACTGGAAGAAGAGTCTGTGGACCCCAGCTCTCTGCAGATGGTTCCTGCTCCCTTAGAATCCTCGGGGGGTTACATCAGCTACAGACACTTTCCCCAAAACCCCCAGGGCTTGGGTCCCCATTCAGCAAGTTGTCCTACCCTAGGGTAACCCCAGATGCTAGAAGGGAGGAGGAGGGAGGGGAGGAACAGAGCTGAGAGTCACTCTGGGCTCACAGGCCCCTCGTGTAATTAATTCGTGCTAGTGTAGATAATTCGTGCTAGTGTAGATCGCTCAGACCCATTGATGCCTACTCTGAGGTTCTCGTTCTTAAATTCAAGATTCACATCATATTGGATAACCTCAGACGAGTGCAAGTGAAAAGAACATCCCAACTCTCTGGGATTACAGCACGATGCAGGGGGAAGAGCTTGGCCAAATCCTCCCCTTACCAGCTGTATCAACTCGGGCAAAGTCACTCAGGCCCCAACCACCTTGTCTTCAGACTGGGGATAATGATATCCCCCTGGGACAGCGGTGAGGCTTACAGCCACAGCAGAATTATCAAGCATGGCCAGAACAGGTATTTGTTGCATCCAAATAGTTCAGAAAAATGGAGAGCCCAGGATAGAGAGACATTGACACCTTACGCATTTTGTTTTTTAGCTTCAAGCATAGAAATAGGTCACCAGCTGCCAACTTGAGACAGGGTCATGGACCTCCCCCGAAAATGGGTCTGCCAGTCGGAATCCCATTCTGCCTTTCTTAGGTAAGTCACATCCTTAACGCATCAGCCAGGAGCACCGGTTTGGGTTCCTCCGTAGGAAATAAAGAGTACAGACATGCAAATCCACCCCCATGTGCAACCTTTCCAGCTTGTCATATTCAGACTTGCGCGGTGCAGAGCCCTTTGTGTGGCTCATATTTTTTGTAAATGTAGTTTTTTCCAAAGCACTCGACTTAATTTCACAGACAAGTAACTCTCTTTTCCTCAGACTTCATGAATCGACACGAATAGTTAGTCCAATCACATCATCTCAATTGGAGTAAAAAATGCATTGATACAGGGACTCTTATGCAGCCTTCAGTCCAATAGGTGAGGGCTGAAATGCATGACGGGGAGTGGCCTTGAGCTGCCCCGGGGCATGGTCACAGGGGCCGCCCAGGTGTGGAGAGCATCAGATGGCCTAGTGAGGCCAGCCTGGCAGCCTTCCACCAAGTTCCCTGTGGCGTCCTGGTGCCCAGTACCGCGCCTGGAAGGTATGTGGGTCCTTATGACACTGGGGGTGACTGTTATAGGAATCGAACGTTCACTAGCCAGGCAACAGCGTGACAGCTCTGAGGTCCCGTGAGCAAGAGTCACTGACTGAGAAATCCCAGAAGAAAGGCATCCCCCTCCACTATGCTGCCTGCCAAGCCCCCGTGTCCCCGAGAAGCCACAGGCAAGTACAGAAAACACATACTTTTCCAAAGCGCTTTTCTCAAGCCTTTCTGCCTCCTTCTTCTGCCAGGCTTTGTGCTTCTTGACACGAGTTTCCCACAAGGCTCTGACGACAGAAATGTCGAATACGACCACTTTGTGTCCCATTTCGGGCGTGTGAAATTACCTATTTAAGAAACATACGTTATGTCAGCTTTGTACACACAGAGAGAAGAAAACAGTTGTAGCATGAACTTTAAAATGAAACATGAGGGGTGCCTGGGTGGCTCCGTCGGTCGAGCGTCCAACTCTGGATTTCAGCCCAGGTTATGATCCCAGGGTCATGGGATTGAGCCCCACATTGGATGTGGAGTCCGCTTGAGATTCCCTGTCTCTGTCTGTCTCTGTCTCTCTTGTCTCCCTCTGTCCCTCTCCCCCGTTCACACACACACAGTCTCTCTAAAATTAAAAAAAAAATTTTTTTTAATGAATGAATCAATTCTCTTAAGCAATGATGAAATGCCTGTTACTTCCAGGATGGCAGTTTGCTAAAGTTCTTAAAGCCTGATCGTACTCTGGGGAAGTCAAGTTCAACATCACCCTTCAAGCATCTATTCTAGAAGTTCACACTTCTGCCCTTGCCTCTCAGCTGAATTGTGGGTTCCCAGAGCCCCCTGGGCATTCCTTCCTGAAGCCTCATGGTTCTGCCTTCTATTGAATTTCTAGCAACTAATCTTCCCACAGGTTGGAACATACTCAAAGGGAAGTTCGTGAGTTAATCAGAACACACACACACACACACACACACACACACACACACAGCGTGTCGGCTGGCCAATAGCAGGGCTGTTGAATGCTCTCTGCTCCAGTTCCAGATGCTTCTAAATGGCAGTCAGTGGGGATACAAAACCAAATATTTAATCTTCTGACTCAGCTGTGTCCTCGCCATAAACGGCCTGCCAGTCCGAGGCGGGGACGCAGCTTTCGTCTGTGCAGCCGAGCGCTGAGGAGCCGTAATTTCCGTCTAACGAGCTGAAAATGCTGGCCCCAATTTATTTCCGTCTTTCCCTTCATTTCTGGCATCTGGGACTGTCTTTGGTCTCCCTTAAAACTCTTTTACCTACGGGAGATTTCTGATTCAGGTGCAAACGGTGCACGTCTTTGTACGGACATGTTTTCGGTTCTCTTGGGTAACTACGTGGGAGCAGCTTTTGGAGGGTCGTCTGATAACTAACTGTGTGTTTAACCTTTTTAGGAACCGCGGGACTCTTTTCCAAAGCAGCTTCATCATCTTACGGCCCCAGCAGCCTTGCTTGGGGCTCCAGCGTCTCCACATCCTCTCCACACTCGTTTTTCTGTTTTCTTCCATCAGAGCCGTCCCAGTGGATGGGAAGTGCTATCTAATTGTTTTGATTTGCATTTGCCTGACAGCTAAGGATGTTGATCGAACACCTTTCTATGTGCCCGTTGGCCCTCGTTATACCTTCCTGGGTATTCAGATCCTTTGCCAATTTTTCAATTGGGCCATTTGTCTTTTTATTGTTGACTTGTCATAAATACTTCTTTATATAGTCTAAACACAGGTCCTTCGTCACATAGATGATTTGCAAAACTTTTCTCCTGTGTTCGGAGTTGTTTTTTCACTTTCTCAATTCCATCCGTTTACTTTTAACCTAAGTACGTATACGGTTATATTTGATGTGAGATTTTGTAGCTAGAATCTTTTGTTTTTGTTTTTTGTTTTTTGTTGGTAGGCTCCATACCCAATGTGGGGCTCGAACTCACAACCCTGAGATCAAGAGTCGCATGCTCCACCGACTGAGCCAGCCAGGCTCCCCTGTAGACAGAATCTTGTCGGATCATTTATTTAGACACACTCCAACAGTGGCTTTTAATTGGTGTGTTTGGGCAATTTACATTTAATATAATGCCTGATACTTTGCGTTTGGGTCTACATTCGTTTATTACCCGATTTCTGCATGACCCCTCCTTTGTTTTCCTCTGCCTTCTTGTGTGTTTCACGCCTTCTAGTATTCAATTTAGCTTCTCTACTATGTTTTTGACTGTGTTTCTCTGTGTCCTTCCTCTTCGTTTTCATGGCTGCCCTCCGGAGGATCAACTCTGGCTTCACTTCTTATCTCAGTCTATGAGAAACAACATTTCACCTCTGATAGTGAGCCATAGACTCCTGACTCCCCTAGGCTCTCTCGCCTTTGTGCTGCGGTTTTCCCGGGCACCGAACCTGTCAGTGTTCTATTTTTGGCTTCCAATCATGAATCTTATGTTAAAGAATGCACTAGGAGGACGCGAGCCCATCACGTCTACCCTGATATGTACCATATCTGTTGTTCCTCCCACATTCCTGTGGTCCCATGTCCCCTCAGACAGGGGATGTCTGCTGATAAATGTTCTGTTCTCTCCCCCATCTGAATATCTCGTTTTCACCTTTACCCTGAAGATTGTGTTGGCTGCCTCTGGAACCCTGAGATAATGTTTTTTCTTCAGCACCGTATAGACACTGTGCCTGTGTCTTCCGGCCTCCGTGGTTTCCCAGGAGAAGCGTGCAGTTGTCGGAACCATAATTCTCACCAAGGTGACACATCATCATTCTCTCACAACTTTTCTAGAGCTTTCCCTTGTCTTGGGTTTTCCTCGGTTTAATTATGATGAATCCGGGCATGGATTTCTTTGAGTTTATCCAGTGTGGGATTTGCCTTGCTCCTCTGGTCAGGAGGTTTGTTCTGTTGCCAAACTGGGGGCTTTTCAGCCATTCTTTCTTCAACGATTTTCTTCTGCCCTGCCTTCTTTCTCCCCTCCTTCTGAGACTCCGGCAACACGAATATGAGCCCTTTAACTATCGTTTCGTGGATTCTTGAGGCTGTTCATTCTTTATAAATCTCTTTCCCCCTTTTTTCTCAGGTTGGTATTATCCAGCAACCCATCTTCAAACGTCCCACTCTTCCCTATATCATATCATCTCCAGTTACGTTTATGAGCCTACCCAAGGAATATTTTATTTCAGTGACGGCCTATTTTATTGCTCAAGGTTCCATTTGGTTCTCCATAGCTTCTGTGTCTTTGCTGATACTTCCTACCTCTCCATGCACACCAGAGGGCAGAGGGAGAGTACCCCAGAAAGGGCAAAACTTGGAAGGGCTTCAGACCTCGCTTTCGTTGTCGAAAGCAAGGAAAGTTTTCTCCACCCTCTGGGGCCTGTAACTCCTCTGATCAGAATGGAAGGATCCCCTTTCTCCAAGCTTTGGGTGACCGAGGTCCTCTGCTATCAACCTTCCCTGTCCCTCCTGTTACCGCAGAATCCTTTGGGGGCTGAAATGTGACAGGATGGGAAAAAGAAGAACAGGGATTTGCCCCCACTCTCTGAGCACTAGGAGTCCCCTTTTCTATTCCTGGAGCACGACTAGGAACCGTTGTGCCCAATTCTGGGCTCCAGGCTGCCTTGGGTCCAGGCTGCGGAACACTGGAGGGGAAAATGGGAAACACACCTCAGGTTCCTGGTACTTGGAATTCTGGTGTCTTTCTCGGATTCTCTTGCAACCAGTTACTTTTCAGAGTCTTCATATTCCATGTATTCTGACTGGGTTTTATGGAGCTGCCTTTGGTGGGAGAGACACAGCAGAGTATGCCTAACTCTGTCTCACCCAGAACCAGAAACTGCTGCATTTAATTTGTCTTCTATCAGTTTCCTTACTGTCATCTTCAGGTCCGGAGCGCCTAAGCTACCAAGGGCTTAAGGTTTTGGTTTTTGACAAAAAAAAAAAAAAAAAGTTTCCATTAAAACATGCGAGGCACCAGCCTACAAACGAGAGCAAAGGCCCCCTCCTGAAATGGAGAAAAATTCAAAAGAGAGAAAGAACCAGATAGACTAATTGCTTTGAGACGATCTCTACACATAAACCAAGTCTACACGGAAAAACAAAGCAAAAAGGGGGCGCCTGGGTGGCTCAGTCAGCTGAGCGTCCAACTTCGGCTCAGGTCATGCTCTCAGTCTGTGAGTTCGAGCCCCGCGTTGGCCTCTGTGCCGACAGCTCCGAGCCTGGAGCCTGCTTCGGATTCTGTGCCTCCCTCTCTCTCTGCTCCTTCCCCACTCATGCCCTATCTCTGTCTCAAAACTAAGAATAAAACATTAAAAAAATACATTAAAAGCAAAGCAAAAACTAAAGTAAAGGGAACTTTCTGAGCAGTGTGGACAGCCCAGGCAGTCAAGGGTACTTAAACCTGAAGGACAGCGTGTGTGCTCTAGATCAACCAGCCGTGACTCGGCCTCTATTGCTGAGTGTCTGTCATTTTCTTAGACCAGCAAATCCTTGGGGAGTAGCCAGATCTGTACCTTAATTGCCCATGCATTAAAACACAAAACCAAAAACCATTGCTCATTAGTTTCCATGCATTCATTTGGAGAAATATGATTCAAGTTTGCGTCTTAGAGGAATGGTCTCTTCTTGATGCCTTTGGGTTCTATTTTTAAATGGTTGTAAATCAGTGTTAGTGTCAGTGTTTTGGTGGGAAAGAGTATATCCTGTCTGCCATCCAACCACGTTCCCCATTTCCCCTGCGTCTTGCAAAGCAGTGAAGGAGGTTCTAGTCTTCAGTTAAGAGGGTTTTGAATGTGCCGGGATTTTAAGTCAAGGTCTTGCCGGTGAGACGTTCTGTTTGCAAACGTGTGTGACAAAATGTGGAAGCTCTAAGAACAGTAAGAGATGACCACATTCGCTAGGGGTCTACACATAATGTGAAATCCAAGGAAGCTAAGAAATACCAACGCCTGAAGGCCATGTCCAGCCCAGCCCCTAGTGTCCTGTGCGGGCCAGGGCAGCACGGAGGCCTCCCTAAACAACCGGTCAGGTTCAAAGTTAACCCTTCAGAGAGTAGCTCTATACAGATGTGTGCCAGATCCGAGAAGCGGTTTTACAACAAAGCCCATGAGTCATTGAAGGACAGGTAGGAGACCCATCCAGGGACAAAGCCACTTTGGGGCAAGCAGAAAGCAGGCAGATGTCAGGGACCCATGCAGGTGACAGTCACTCAAGAGGTTCAGGAAAGAGAGCCGGTCTCAGGAAAGAGAGACAAAGCTAATCTCTTCTTTGTAGCATGAGTTCTAGTCAACACAACCTTTCCTGCAAATACACAAAATGTAATTTCCTGAGCATTAACTTTCTCCAGAACTATAGAAATAGCACCATGGTAGACTCTACCAAAGCTGGAGTACAGAGAAAAATTCTCCTCTACAGGATCCAGTCTGAGAGACCCTCGTTTCAAAGAAAGCAATATCTTCCCAGAGAAAACTGCACATCCGAGTAGACTGTCCTGAGGCACCGTAAGAAACGCAGGGCTTTAGCGTGAGCCCTCACTGAGTTTTACAGCAAAGATTCACGAATCTAAGAAGACGCCTGATCCCAGTTCCCTGCTGGAGATCTGGCTTTGCACGGTTACAGCAGAATCATAAAGGAACACAGATCCCTAGATTTGGGCTACATGGTCCGCAGCCACAGGGCATCTTCCCAACAAGAAACCACATGGGACTGGAAGAGAGCAGAGGATAAGCATGACGTCACTCATGGCAACAGAAAGGACACTGGGACAGAGTGTCGTCAGGCTCATTTGTGTACCTCTCTTGGTGTCCCGGGTCCTGAGCGAAAACGTCAACAATCGGAGACTCTCCAAGTTTGGATTCCTAGTGGAAAGGAAAATTCCTCCTGGAAAAATCTTTCGCTTTACTCTAGGGGTCAGCAAACCTTTTCAGGAAAGGGCAAGAGAGTAAATGCTGTAGGCTTCGCGGGCCAACCGGCAAAATGGAAGATATTATGTAGGCGCTTACATAACAAAAGAGAAAGCTCCTGGCCTGCCCCTCCCGGCTGACTTGGCCATGGGTTGCCCCAGCCTTGAGCTTGCCTCCATGTTTTGTGATCAGTTGCCACCTGCTGGAGACATACTCAGGACAAGAGCCACTGGCCCAAGAGGGAAAGGCCCCGGCAGGCCAGCACGCGGAAGGATGGGGAACGGGGACCTGCTGTGCTCAGTTTCCCTCCCGGCCCCTGTGACGCCCAGATGCTGGTCTGTCCTTCTCTCCTCTGTGTCAGCTCAGGTTGGGTAGCTGGCTGGAGGCTAGGAGGACTTGCTAAGTCACCAGCCCCTGAGCAGAGATTCCATGCTTGGTGCCTGGCATTTGCAACTACAGCGAAATCTCCAACATGTAGGTGGCAACCAGCGTGGGCTTCGGGCAGCCGCGAGATACTGCGGGCCAGGCAGACAGGCACTGAGAATGGAGGGGAATAGGGGGAGGCAGGGGGCAGGGGGGGGGGGGACTCCAGCTCGGTCTCCATGGCTCGCAGCACCAGCCCCCTCCAGCAGTGCCCGAACGCCATACAAAAACGTGTGCCAGCCCTGTTTGTGCTTCCCGGCTTCGGTGAACAATAAAATGTATTTTGTTTTGTGGATGTGATGGCTTGCAATCGTACCCACAAATTCCTTGACATTCTTTCCTTTAGATGGGTGGAGCTTGGGGCGCCTGGGTGGCTCAGTCGGTTGAGCGTCCGACTTCAGCTCAGGTCACGATCTCAAGGTCTGTGAGTTTGAGCCCCGCGTCGGGCTCTGGGCCGACGGCTCGGAGCCTGAGGCCTGCTTCAGATTCTGTGTCTCCCTGTCTCTCTGCCCCTCCCCGGCTTGTATTCTGTCTCTGTCTCTGTCTCTCTCTCAAAAATAAAAAATAAACATGAAAAAAATATTTTAAAGGGTAGGGCTTGGGGCCCCTGGGTGGCTCAGTCCATCTGACTGTTGATCTCAGCTCAGGTCGTGATCTCATGGTTCGTGAGTTCAAGCCGCATATCGGGCTCTGCACTGATAGCATGGAGCCTGCTTGGGATTCTTTCTCTCTCTCTCTGCCCCTCCCCTGCTTGCACTCCCTCTTGCTCTCTAAAAAGGGGGGTAGAGTTTCATTCCTCCCCCCGTCCCCCGAGCGTGGGTTGGATTGTGACTCATTTCTAATGAATAAAATGTGGTCAAAATGATGGCGTGCAGCTTCTGAGACTAAGTCCCACCAGGCACTGCTCTATCTCTTGGGTCACGCGCTCTGGGGGAAGTCAGCCGCCATGTTATGAGGATGTTGAAGCGGCTGAATAGAGAAGCTTCCTACGGGAAGGAGTAGAGGCCCCCTGCCAGCAGCCATGTGAGCAGAAGCTGTCTAAAAGCAGGTCCACCAGCCCCAGTTGAGCCATCAGATAGCAGCAGCCCCAGAAGACATCTTAAGTGCAACTTCACGACAGACCCTGAGCCAGGACCGCTCAGCTAAGCCATTCCTGACCCTCTGAGAGAGAGATAATACGTTTTTTGTACTAAGCTATTAAGTGTCGGGGCGATTTCTTATGCGGCGATAAATAATGAATACAGCGGACAGTGAAATAAGAGCCACTTAAAAGAACCGGTCTCAATCTACAGCGACCTCTAGGGCCTGGATCGCACCGCTTCCTTGACATATCCACCTGGATGTCTCCCACATTTCTCGAAGAAACACAAGAGTCACTCACTTGGAATCTATCCGTCCCCAGCTGCCTTAATTCCTCACCTTGACTCCACCGTTACCTGGAGGTCACTCCTTTACGCCTTCTGTGTCCTCACCCCTCCCGCCATGTGGGTATGAACTCATACACAAACACACACGTTCATTCACGCATCCGATCTATCACCCAAGTCTTAGAGGGCAGGCATTTCTCACCACCGATTAGTGTCACAGCTGGCCCCGGTCGTGCAAAATCCTTACAGCTGGCGCCCTGACTTCCCACTCACCCACGTCCAATCCATTTGTCACCCAACAGCGAGAGCCATTTTCCAACGAGGGTGAGATCACGCGGCCACCTGGCTCAAGTGCTCCAGAGACTTCCCTTTGGGATGAAGGGGACATCCCAGCCCCTCACAGGGCCCTGTCATGTCCACCCTCAACTGCTCTCCTCCTCAGTGCCTTGGCCTGGACCCCTTCCCTCGTCCACGGAGCTCCCCTGCACCCCATACCCTGAACTCAGTGTTCTCTCCTTGGCGTGGCCTCTTCCTCTAAGCCAGAGCCCCCTGTTACTTTCTCCCTCAGACTGTTGCTTGTTTACCTCACAGCACACAAGGCAAGTTGAGTTGCCCGCTGGTTGGTTGAAGTTCGCTTCGTCCATAGACCGCGCTGAGAAGGGCCCCGGTTTGCTGACGGGAGCAGCCCCCGGAGAGGCCCCAGAGGTGGGCTCCAAGTCAGGCGCGTGCCCCGAGAGGTCACCGGGTGAATGATGGTAGCCCTGGAGGGGGGGGGGTGCAGCCAGGGTTCGGCTCCTTGACCTCAACACAGAAACCCTGCGTATTGGGCCAGCTCCCTTGCTGTGCATTTCTGTCCTTTGATTCCTGGGAACCCCAAGTAACTGACATTTGGGAGCACTCATCAAATGCAGAAGGGTGAATGTCCCTGCATCAGAGCTCTCCCCCTGGAGAGGGGAACAGAGGCTCAGAGAGACAGATTTGGCGTGGGGATTTGACAAGGGCGGCTGGATAGACGCTGTGGAGGCGGGTTAAGAGGGAGGCCCTCAAGTGTGTGTGGAGAGTGGGGCTCAGGGAAGCGCCACGGGACCCTGAGGAAGGGGAAGGGGACTATCCGTGCAGGTTTGCTTGAGTAATTGTCCACGCTCCCTCTGCAAGCCAGGCACATGAGAATCACTTCGCAGAACCACCCACCGTCCGAGCCAGAGGGCATGACTGGAAAAAACACGTCCCCTAGCACCAGAGCACGAGTCCCCACTCAGAAGACGTATGCCAGTGTTCCAGGCGGGAGGGGGGTACTTTCTGGTCACCTAGTCCTCTCCCTTCTTGTCAAACAGCAGTCTGGACAGAGAGGGGGCAGGGGGTTGGGTAGAGGGCTCCCATCTCTGAGAATCTGAGGTGCAGAGGCCCCGGGGGAAGAGACCCCACAAAGCCCACAGTGCAGGTGCCCAGCCATTCTGGGTGCCAGGCTGGGGGAGGGACAGCGGCAAGTGCGGGGAGGTAGGGAGACAGGGACAGAGCTGAGGTCAGGAGGTCACCTGAACAGCCATGGGGAGAGGGGCCCGGCCCCTCACCCTGACCTACTCTTCAGAACCCCCAGGCCCCCTCTTTCCCTTGGGCAGACCAGCTCCAGACCCTCCACAGCATTCTTCCCAGTGTATCTACCTCGGGGAAAAAGACACCCACCTCAGCCTCACCGGAGCTCAGGGAACAGCCACAACCAGTGGGAATTCTTGGCGACCCCAACGCACAGAAGAGGCAGTAACGTGGCCAACAAGGGGCTTCAGCGTCGCACAAATCCCGTTCTAGCCTCACGTAAGACTACTGCCTGGACCCCAGAGCTGGCACCCAGAGTGAGTTTTCGGCTAGAAACAGTAGGGTTATGAAGGGCTAAGTGCTCAAGTGAGGTCAGTACCGTCAGGATAGTTCAGCCAAATTCTGAATTAAATGACATCTTACGTCACAGGGTCAGAGTTTCCCTGGGAGCACCCATTGCTTTCCTGGTAACTTGTTAAACCAGAAAATCCAAGCAGGGAGGCAGAGGCCACCGGGCATGGGATTAAGAGGAGTCAGCCTGCTTGGGCTGGAGTCCCGCCTCCTCTGTTTATGGCTGCGCGCCCCTGAGACAGTCACCTAACCCCTCTGCACCTCGGTGTACTTCTCTGAACATGGGTTGACAGGGACACCCAGCTCACGGGACTGGCGACTGGAGCGCGTGTGATCATTTCGGTCAAGTGCGTAAGAGAGTATTTGGCACCCAGTAAAGCTCCAAAAATGTCAGTGATTTAAAGGAAAAAAAGAGAAGAGTTGAAGACGGACATCATCACTTATTAAACGTAAGACACAAACCAGGGGTCCGTGAGCACCCTTGGATTCTTGTGCCCAGGGCATGGTCAGCGGAGGTTTTCTGGGAGACGGCCCCAGCCCCTGAGTTTCCGGAGAGGATTTGGTGGAGAAGAGCCGCCAGCACAGCTGAGCCGCTCACAAAGCCAGATGCTTTTCCTCTGGGTCTCCGATCCCTTTCCCACCCTCGCCCTCTCTCTCTGGAGAGCAGGGAGACAATCCCCAGAAGGAAAGTGTCCCCCCCGCCCCCAGATGTCAATCATCCCTTTCAGGGCACCGAAGACACAAACAAAGTTGATTTATCTCCCCTTAGACAGCACTTTGGACCGGAACATTTTGAGCTCAGCCGCGGGCACCAGGGCAGTTTCCTGGGAAAGACTCACAAACCAGGAGCAGGAATCTTGGGGACCCCCCGCTACAGCGGCAGCCTTTCTGGGCACCACCCACCTCTGCCACAGTCTCTCCTTCTCCATTCAGTTCCATTTCTTGCCCTAAAACGCAGATAAATTGCTAATCCACCCCCCCCCCCACCATGTTCCACTGGGGATGTTTGCCAGGGTCCTGCCATGCACGGCACAGTGGGAAAGATATAAACAAGGAGGCACTGCCCCCCAGGCTCCCACCAGCAGGTGCACAAGCCCCCTCGTTCCCATTTCCCCCCA